CCAGCACACCGCACGACACCCCTTATCACCTCTCAAAGTTGGGTTACCAGAACCAGTCCACCTTGGCGTGTGACAGCATCAGCTTCTTGCACTATGAAACCTTATAGACACCTCCCAGCACCTTCTAAAACTGGCTTCTACCCCTATGCATCGCACTACACCCATTCTCACCTGTGAACACAACGTCCGAGTCTATCCACCAAAACCACTCCACCTCGGCATGAGACAGCATCAGCTTCCCCTTCTCTACAGCACTTACAATAAGCCAGGACCCGTCTGCAAAGCACTACACCAAATCTCACCCATGAACACCGCTCTGCACCGCACTGCACACATTCTCACCAGTGAACACGGCATCCGAGTCCATCCACCAGAACCACTCCACCTCGGCGTGCGACAGCATCAGCTTGCGCAGCAGCGGCAGCTTCACCCAGAACGAGTCCATAGAGCGATCCAGAATGGCCGTGCTATAGTAGATCTGATAAGAGAGTAAACAAAGGAGGGGAGGGGGGGGGGGGGAAAGTAGGAGAAAAGGAGTGCGGGGAGGGGTTGGTCAAGAATCACCCAGAACGAGTCCATAGAGCGATCCAGAACGGCCGTGCTGTAGTAGATCTGATAGGAGAAAAGGGAAAGATGGGGGCCGGGGGGGGAAAGGATAGTGAATCTTCACCCAGAAGGAGTCCATGGAGCGATTCAGGATAGCCGTGCTGTAGTAGATATGCGGAGAATGGCAGAAGGGAAGGTTCAAGGGGAGAGGGAAGGGGTGGTGGAAGGGGGTGGGTAAAGCTTCACCCAGAAGGCGTCCACTGCGCGATCCAAAGGCCGTGATGCAGAGGATATGCCAGGAGAATGGCGGGAAGGAAAGGGAAAAGGAAAGCCAAGGGGAGAGAGTGGGGAGGGGTGAGTCACGGGCACCCAAAACGAGTCAGAATGTGCTCCCCTTGGCTTTCCTTTTTCCATCCATAGAGCGATCCAGAATGGCCGAGCTGTAGTAGATCTGCTAGGGGAGCGAAGAACGACGGGGGAGGCGGAATGGAGGGGGTTGAGCAAAGAAACACCGAGACCAGAGGGCGATCCAGAATGGCCGTTTTGTAGAAAAATCCATGGCGGAAATAAGCAAGGGGTGAGAAGAAAAGGAGTGTGGATAGAGAGATGGGTCTAGGACACCCAGAATGAGTCCATAGAGCGATCAAGAATGGCCGTGCTGTAGTAGATCTGATATTGCGGGGGAAGGAGAGACACAGGAGGATGTACCCGCGGTGACACGTACGAGCAGTTTAACAAGTCCGTACTCCTTACGTTATCTCTTTACCTCAATGTCCCGCGGCGAGCAGTAGTCGAGCTTGTTCTTGAGCGACTTGAGCAGCAGGAAGTCGCCCACGTCGTTGTCGCACACGCCCGGCTGCGACCCCGTCACCAGCATCACGCGCGCCTTGCCCTGCCGCGTCTCGTTGCTCCCCGGGTGCTTCCGCACGTAGTCCGCGCGCTGCTCGTCCCAGTCTGCGCGGAAGGGGAGAGGAGGAAGGGGGGGGAAGGGGAGGGGACCAGAAGGGAAATGGAGGGTAAGAGCAGAAAAAGAAAACCGTTTGGTTGAATCTACAAAGCGACCCCAGACTGGTGTCACCAGCATCACGCGCGCCTTGCCCTGCCGCGTCTCGTTGCTCTCCGGGTGCTTCCGCACGTAGTCCGCGCGCTGCTCGTCCCAGTCTGCGGGGGAAAGGGGAGAGGGGGGAAGGGGAGGGTTAGGGCAGCCGGCTGGAGGGGAAAACGAGGGGAGCGGGGAGAGAAACGGGGAATTGGACGGGGAGAGGCGGAAAGAGAAGACTGTTGATTTGCTCCCTGGGTGCTTGCGAACGTAGACTGTGCGCTGCTCGTCCCAGTCTGCGGGGGAGAGAGTGGGGGGGAAAGGGCAGGGGGGGAGAAACGACGTGCCGAGCAGAAGAAGGGATTTTGGGAGATGGAAAAAACTGATCGACGTGTCGATCCGACGAAGAGAACTACCAGCACGCAGAACTACCGGGGATTTAAGTCGCTTCGCCAATGCGCGGCAAACAATTACCGATCATATCCGTGCGCAGCAGGAACGCACCCCTTTGACTTTTGCGATATTTCAACAGACGAGTCACGGTGCCAGGCACGCACTGGAAAACCTATGCGGACTCGCGGTGCCAGGCACGCACTGGAAAACCTATGCGGACTCGCGGTAGCTCCAGAAGAAAGCATTCCCTTCAAACGTCCGACTTGAGGCACCTCCTCATATATTGACGCGCAGAGCCAGACTCACCAGTAATCTTCGGGCCCAGCAGGATCCGCTCCCCTTTGGCGGCTGCGTGTCCGGCATGGATTCGTCCATCCCTCGAGGTAACTTTTGAGTCGACTCAAGAGACACTCACCAGTTATCTTCGGGCCCAGCAGGAACCGCTCCCCCTTGGGCGACTGACTTGAGGCACATCCTCATGTATCGACACGCAGAGCCAGGAAACTAACCAGTTATCTTCGGGCCCAGCAGGAACCGCTCCCCTTTGGGCGGCTGCGTGTTCGGCATGGATTCGTTCATCTCCCGCTTGTCGCGCGCGCGCTGCTCCTTCCGCCATCGCTCCACCGCCGCGCGCACCATCTGCCTCTGCGCCTCGCGATCCTCCGCCTGCCATAAAGACGGGAGCGTTCATGGAGGTACGTGCGATGAAAACGGGTCGCTTTGAGAAGTCGTTGAGATGAAAACGCGGTTATTCACGGATGTAGCACTTCAGGATTGACGTTTCTACTTGGGTGGCTTTCGGAATGGTCAAAGGCAACTCCAGTACGAACGGGGGCATTAACAGACATATCAAGTGAGGATCGGCGTTTCTGTCCGAGTTGCTGGAAATTGTGATCGACGTTTCTTTCTCTCTAAACTCCTTGTATGATAACCATGTGATCACCCGTTTCTGTCCTTGTCGGGTGGGTATCACTGAATTAGCTGCGTATTTTCTCAATCGACTCCAAAGATTTCATCAGACTCGCCACAGTGGTGGAAACACCCGAGTGAGGATCGTCGACGCTTTGAGTCGACTGCTCTCCCCAGGCTAGATCTATTCGAACTATATAAAATCTGCACGGGCACTTCAGCGACAGCGAGGCTGCACGAAACTGGCGGCGCGAATCAGGCTTCTGGTCTACCATGTCCCATCATCAACATCACCAGGCCAAGTTGACATGGCTCAGAAGCCATGCCCCTTATTCTGCCTCGTTGGGCTACCGCCACTGTCACGCAAGTTACCGCCAGCACTGGAGCGTCGCAATAGAGGCAGACTAAGGAGGACATGGATCGGAACATGGGATACCTGTGACGGAGCTTCTAACAGACGCCTCCGCGGCCCTCTCGAGCTTTCATCGGCCACTGACTGGTGGATCATCGTGTCCGATATGAACTCTTCCGGCGACGGGACGGACGGGAGGACATGGATCGAACATTGGATGGGATACCTGTGATGGAGCCTCTAGAAGACGCCTCCGCGGCCCTCTCGAGCTTTCATCGGCCACTGATACTCCCGACTGGTGGATCATTGTGTCGGATAGGAACTCTTCAGGCGACGGGACGGACGGGAGAAGTTGGAAGCGTTGGCTCAGGCCGAGCACGAGGAGGAAGACGAAGCAGGTTAGGAGGTCCATTCTATTGAATAACGCGGACGCCATGGCTCGGACCTGATCGATCCTACAGCTGGTCTAAAGTATTCCTGCGACCTGGTAACATGGAAGAGCAGGCGTCGGCTATAATTACGGATGGTTTTCACGATTTTCCTCAAGTTAATTGTTATAGGAGCGAATCGTAATGGCCGTGATCGACGCTAGAAAGAAGTGATTACAACGCCCCTGACAACTTCGTCACTACTTCAGTCTTCCTGACAATCAGCTAACCAACACCATGCCCATTCTGGATGAGATGCACTGAAGGCTGGGGAAGGGAAGAATCAGATGAGCTCGAGGCTGGAGGTTTTGTGGCGAAGGATGAAATCGAGGTTCACAGGACAAACGAAGAGAACTCATCCCCGCCGTCAAAGAACTAGGACACGTGCGACACGGTTTGCCTCCGTCCGAGCCTACCGGGGCGTGACAAGCCTGTTTAGACAGGCTCGGAGCAGTCAGAACAAGTTTCGTTCTGTGTCGTGTAGGTATGGTTCCCTTCACCTTCAGTCACTGGCACGAGGAGGTTGTGACTAAGTACACGCGGGAACAAATTTGATTGGCTGCTGGCTGAAATTGAGCACACTGTAACCTGGTCAAAGGCGGAGCGCTGCGGCGTCGAAGCGTCTTGTCTCGTCCGACTGCAAGCAGCGTCCCACGCAAGTTCGATAACGGCCACCTCGATATCGCGAAGCCACCACTCGATAAGGTAATCAACGATACAAACACATAAACAATGAATTTAAGTCAACTCAGGTCTGAGGTCACAGTATTCTGTGTGCTTTATGGCGTAAGCATTATTCGACTCAGTTTCTGGCTTCATTGCACATTTCAAAATGAGAAACATTAGCATCACAGGAAACATAATGCCAACACTTGAGCCCATCCTCATCCTACTGCACCAGAAGGGGCTTGTAAAACTTGCCCCACCCACAAAAGCTGAGCAGGAGCTGGTACCATACAGAGGCATCTAATCCTTGAGCAAAGGCCTGATTTCAATAATTTTGGCCCAAGAGCGCATGCCCATGTCTCATTTACACAGCGGGAGGGGGAGCCCCAGGAGCACCGGGAGCGCTGCCATAGTCGCCACCACCATACCCCCCAGCTCCACGGCCAAAGCCACCGCGGCCGCCACCCTGAGGCACAGTTCAGGACAATTGCACGCACATTACATTATGAGCTGCGCAGCCCACACCCCAGAAACAAAATCTGGACTATCTGGACTAACTTAGAAGCTGCAGGAGTGACAGTGCAGTCGAACCGCAAGGGGCAGACGGATTGCAACAAGTGTTAGGCAGCACCACGCCCAAACCTGCTCCTTGCAGTCACATTACTTCTTAGCTAAAAGTTAGTGTAGAGAGGCTCACCTCCCTGAAGGCTGGCTTGTACGCGCCCGGAGCGCCGGCCTTGTCATCACCACCGGCACCGTACCCGCGGTATCCCTCGCGGTCCCCATAGCCCCGTCCACCCTCGAAACGGCTGGAGCATGGGAGGTACGGGAGGGTGACGGGGTAGGGAAGGAAGATGATAAGGATTCGCCAACCGAGTTCGCCCACAATACCAATTATTGGCCTGGCCAGTTTAAACAGTTCCTATTGTAGTCCTTGGAAACGGGGGTGGGGGTAGAGAGCACCCATGGGGCAGAGTTAACATGTTGACTGACACTGACTAGCGTTGACTAGAATTGACTCACTGGGGAGGGCGGTCGCCGCTAGTGCCCATGGGGCGGCCGGGAGGGCGGGAGTACTTGAGGGTGGCGGGGACGATCTCAGAGAAGCCTTACCCCACGTTTGACCTGCGCTGACTGGCGTTGACCAGCGTTGACTTACCGGGGGGGACGGTCGCCGCCAGCGCCCATGGGGCGGCCGGGCGGGCGGGAGGACTTCTTCAGGGTGGCGGGAACGATCTCGGAGGGGAGGTTGAGGTAGTCGCGGAGGTGCTCGATGCCCTCGTTGGTGAGGTACCAGTAGTAGTGCCGCCACGCAAACGTCTCGCGCACAAACCCCTTCGACTTGAAGCTCTGCATCAGCTTGATCACCTGGGGGGAGGAGGGGAGTGCGGGGGGAGCGGAAAACGGATGGGGGAATTTCGGGTGGCGGGGAGGGAGGGGAGGACGGGGAGTTGATGGGGGAAGCGTGGGTGCGGGGGTTGGGGGTAATACTACGAGACAACCAGGGACACGGATCAAGCAATAAGGACATGGGATAATGTTATACATAATAAGGCTGCTAATTAGAGCACTCACTTGCAGGTTGGGGACCTCGAGCTCGGGGTGCTTGGGCAGGTTGAAGTCCTTCTCCGCGAACAGGACTCCCTCTGTGGGGACGAGGGATGGGAGAAGGGGCGAACAGGGGCAAACGGGGAGAGGAAGAAGTGAGATTACAAAGTGGATGGGAGGTCAGGGTGCTTGGGCAGGTTGAAAGCCTTCTCGGCGAACAGGACTCCCTCTGTTGCAAAAGGGATGGGGGAGAGGGGCCGCATGGGGTGCCGGGGTAGGGACGAACAGGGGCAAGCAGGAAATGAACGGGGTGAGATGACGCAAGAAATAGGCTGAGAGATCGGGGTGCTTAGGCAGGCTGAAATCCTTATCCGCGACCAGGACTCCCTCTGTGTGGACGAGGGGGCAGGCAGGGAGAAAAGGGGCCGGGGAAGGAGTGAACAGGGGAAAGAGGATTAGGAAAGGGGTGAGGTGACGCAACGAAGAGGCTGAGAGCTCGGGGTGCTTGGGCAGGTTGAAATCCTTCTCCGCGAACAGGACTCCCTCTGTTGGGAAGGGATGGGGGAAAGGGGGCGCCTGGAGTGCCGGGGTAGTGACAAACAGGGGCAAGCAGGAAATGAACGGGGTGAGATGATCCAAGAAAGAGGCTGAGAGCTCGGGGTGCTTGGGCAGGTTGAAATCCTTCTCCGCGAGCAGGACTCCCTCTACCACGAAGAGGGCCGGGTAAGGGGAGAACGGGAGAAGAGGGTGCGGGGAAGGGGCGAGAGGGGCAAGCAGAAAATGATCGGGGTGAGATGACACAAGAAAGTGGAAGGGGGCTCTGGGTGCTTGGGGGAAAGGGGAGGCGGGGAGTTTTTGAGAATTCTCAAAAGTCCCAGCTCTGGGTGCTTGGGGGAAAGGGGAGGCGGGACCAAAAAAAGAGGGGTGAAAAGGACGGATGGGTAGGAAGGGGCAGCGGGGGCAGGATAAAAAACTGTGCTAGTGAACTAGAGACTCTCGAGACTCTCGGAAAATACTTGATAAATCGACTCAATGGTGAGACGTTTGTGCTACAGCGCTTCCCTTACGATCGACCGGTCGACGGGTCCACTGGTCGGCACGCGCGCGGACACACGTGCGAGGGGACAGCAGGCCCCACTGTGATATTGAGGTATTTAGGGTGTCTCAACACAAAAATTCGGAATCAGGTCCCCAGGTCGATCAGTTACGGACGGAGCTGAAGCCAAGTCGCAAAATTGCCACTCGAGTCTCGAACCTCTCTACTTAACCACTCTCTGCACAAATCCTTGTATCTCTCAACTAACGTCACTATCTGAACCAATTGTGTGATCTCTCAACTAACGTAACTCTCGGCACATATCCTCTAAACTCTCGCCGCATTGCCACCACCGATCCTGGAGCACCTCGAGTCTTCAGACGTACGCAAACGCGCCGGCTCGTAACAATTAACTCCGTCAAATTAATCACGAAAACAATTTCCAGCCGACAGAAATATCTGCCCGAATCTGCTGTCTCTCCGTAACGGCAGTTCGATGGCAAGAAACCAGCCATCGCGATTTCCCCGCAACACCCCTTCCCTTCCTCTGGCCGCACAAGCATTGCCGTTTTCAACCGCTTTAAAAAACTCTAACCATCGTTGACACTCCTTGACCCACCTCTTCCCCCACTCTACTCCCTTTTTCCCCCTTCCCCCCTACTATCCCGTTTCTCTTCACATAAGGATCTGTAAAACATAATCGGTCAGGGTAACTTGGAGGCGAATGGGAGAACGAAAGTGTGGAGCAGAGAAGGTGGAGGGGGAGGGAAGACGCACCACTGAAGAGATGGACCAACAGGGGTGGGAATGAGAGTGGGGGGGAAGGGGGAGGGGGAGGAGGAGGGGGGAAGCGGGGAGGGATGCGGGGAGTTGGGGAACGAGGAGGAGGACTCACCGCTGAAGAGGTACTTGTAGACCAAGAGACGGTTCTTTTTGGGGACCAACTGCAGGCACGAACGGAAGGAGAGACAGGGAAAACGGTGTAGGTTGAAAATAAAGAATCGGGGGAATAAATAGTTAACGATCAGTTTCAGTATGCTTCGCGTAGCTGACTCAGACATCTGGTTTGCTAAACTGCACGAAGCTGGAGTATCGTTGCTGTGTAACACCGTCGGTAAAAGCGGCATATTATTCGGGACACTACCAGTACACTGTACTATCCGTCCACTCGGCCGGCAAAAAGTCCTGGAGATGACCTCTTAACGCCGATCATGAAGCAAGCTGTAGACGCGGCCATGAGGCATAGAGGCACTCGGTGAAATGTTTCAGACGTCCGTCGAATTACACGGCAAACGGCAAGCCTCTAAGCTTAACTTGGCCAAGGAAACCAAAATGTCAGGGCTACAGGTAAGAATTCCAGGCCATGACAAACCCACGCCATGGGAGAATACGATTTATTACGGCACGAAGCGAAGCGCTTGTCGTCGACACTACGTAAAGCGCTGATACATCTAACCCTAAATTTGGTCCGCAAAAACCGCTTACACCCTAAAACCAGGTCACGGAGCGCTACCTATCCGCAAAAATCTAGACCGAAATAAAAACGGCACAGCAATCCCAGTCGTACCATTTTGCCCGACCGCAGCTGGATCCGCGGGAGACGGGGTAAGACTAGTTAGGAAGTGAGGTAAGAGAAACAGCTCAAGGCGGAGCTCGAGGGAGGAAAGGGGAGAAAGGTAGAGCTGGGTGAAAGAAAATGGAGCAGTAGGAGCAGCAGCAGCAGCAGCCGCGAGGGGAGCAGCAGAGCAGACAGGAGAGGGTGTGGTGGTGATCGGGCGATGAGTGAGAGCAGCAGAGAGGAGGCAAGCTCGAGGGAGGAGGGAGAGGGGAGGGGCAAAAAGGCGGGAGTAGGAGGGCAGGAGGAATTACCGAGGTGAGGGGGTGCACGGGAATGTGGTATTTGATAGTTTAGGGGCAGGCGCCATAAGTCCGGGTAGGTGACGCTAAGTACAGATTTTGAAAGCAAGGGATCCAATGTAGCTTAGCTTTATTGGGCTCGCGCTTAGTGAAATGCGGCTGTCTACGACGGGAACGGAATTCAAGGTAATGGTAGGTCAGGTTGGAATTCAAGGGGTTGGAAAAAGGAAACTCGATTCTTGCCTAAAATAAATGGTCTCACCGAAGGTGTGGCGTACCACCACAGGATTATTACCGCATTACGAAGAAAACCGCAATAACACATGACAGCCACATCGTTTAATCACCTAATTTCCAATATGAAAAAATGGTTAAGGGGTCCACAGTATGTGGAGTTGCACTATCTGGTAAGAATAGTATGTCTTGCAAACACGATGCTCAACAAAAGAATTGGTGACAATCACGTGCATCACCAAAAACTTGGCTGACTTAGGTGCACTCTGAAGAAGAGGCTGGTACCGTACCTTACATGAAGCTACAGGCATTTCAGTGTTAAACATGTATTTTATAATGCCAGGTGTATCGAGAGTCAACAGCTACCAGCTGCCCACCTGTGCCCATTTCCACCACACTGTAACCCTACACCGAAACACAGGGAGCTTCACATTAGAGCCCACCCTAGGCCACCCAGGTTAATGTGAGAAGGAAACACTCTGCTCACTGCTTCTTCACAGAAGGAGCAGCAGCAGCAGCCATAGCAAAGCTTATGGACCCTCTGCTCCCCACTCTCCCAGCAGCTCATCTGTATCTCGCTAGGTATGGGCTGCTCAAGCCCTGATGCTTGCTCACTGCCTCTTCACACTACCAGCAGCACCAGCGGCAGCAGCAGATCCATTAGAACCCCTGCTGCCGGCCTTCCCAGCAGCCCATCTGTACCCCGCTGAAGTAGGCTGCTCAACCTGATGTTTGCTCACTGCTTCTTCACAGAACTAGCAGTAGCAGCCGTAGCAGAGCCAATCGAACCACTACCACCCGCCTTCCCAGCAGCCCACCTGTATCCTGCTAAGATAGGCTGCTCAAGCACTGATGCTTGCTCAGCCTCTTCACACCACCAGCAGCAGCAGTCACAGCAGAGCCAATCGAACCACTACCACCCGCCTTCCCAGCAGCCCACCTGTATCCTGCTAGGATAGGCTGCTCAAGCACTGATGCTTGCTCACTGCCTCTTCACACCACCACCAGCAGCAGTCACAGCAGAGCCAATCGAACCACTACCACCCGCCTTCCCAGCAGCCCGCTTCGATATGCTGTTCATGCCCCGAGGTTTGCTCACTGCTTCTTCACACCAGCAGCAGCAGCAGCAGCAGAGCCAACAGAACCCTTGCTGCCCCCCTTCCCAGCAGCCCATCTGTAGCCTGCTTTCTCCCTTATCTCCCGCACCCCCCTATCCATCACCCCCCTACCCACCCTCACCATTCTACCTGCCTCCTCCCTCCCCATTGACACCATCCTCTCCCCTACCTCCCTCACTCCCTCGATCCTCCTCGCCACCTCCCCTCCCACTTGCTCCCGCACCATCCTCGCACCTTCCTTCAGATCTGCATCCTGTAGCTCCCGCACCTTCCTGGCAGCTTCCTCGGCCCTTTTACTCAACGACCGCTGCAAGCTGCCGTCCGCCACGCTGGCGGCCAGGCTGGACGCCACGTCAGCAGAACGCTCTTTGATTTTTACCAGATTCTTGGCAGCGCCGTGTTTCGCCTCCCCTGCTCTCTGTTGAATCAAATCCGCCCACCAGCCGGGGGGGAGAATAGTGGGTTCTTGGATGCTGCAAGGCAGAGGTGTGAAAGGGGGGGCGGGTTGTGGTTGTGGGGGGAGAGTGGGAGGCTAAGTGTTGCGCCTGCTCTCCTCTGCTCTCTGTTGAATCAAATCCGCCCACCAGCCAGGGGGGAGAATAGCAGGTTCTTGGATGCTGTAAAGTGGGGGGGGGGGGGCAATGAAGGAAAAGAGAGCGTGAGTAAGAAGGGAGGGAATGGAAATGCATTCTGAAATGGAAACAGGAGACGATCTGCTGGTGGCGCCGTGCTGTGCCTGCTGTGCTCTCTGTTGGAACGAACCCACCCACCATCCCGCGGGAACCAATCCACCAAATCCACCCATCCCGGGTGGGGAGAGGTGACGAATACGCCACACTCACATGTCTCCCAGATATCTTCTGAATTCTGACTTTCTCTGCTGCAATACAAGCAGGCGCCACCATCCCACCCATAGCACCACTCACCTGCACTCCTCCATCCCATCAGAAGCGCTACCTTCCACACCCGCACCTCCTCCTCCCACCTCCCCCTCACTGACAAACCCTTATGAAGATTCTCAAAAGTAACTCACCTGTCCTCCTCTTGAGGCGCCTCAAAAGCCCTCACTGACAAACCCTTATGCAGATTCTCAAAAGTAACTCACCTGCCCTCCTCCGTCCCATCAGAAGCACTGCCCTCCACACTCGCACCTCCTCCTCCTCCTGCCTCCCTCTCGCTGCCGAAACCTTGCTCCCCTTCGCCTGCCACCCCACTCGCCTCTTCCGTCTCCTCTCCTTCCAGGCCCCCACTTGCAACACTCAACTTCCCTTCAACCCCACCATCGCGATCACCACCACTGCTGCTAACCCTGCCAACCCTGACAATCTCAGATCTTAGCCTCTCTACATCTTCTCCTGATGACTCCCTTTCCCTCTCCACACTCTCTCTCTCTTCCCTCTCCCTCCTCACACTCTCCACCTCCTCCACTCGCACTTTTTCCATCTCCTCGGCCAGTCGCGCTGCTTCTTTCCTCGCTGACTCAGCCTCCTGCCTCGCCACATCAGCTTCCTTCCGAGCCTCTGCCACCTCCACCCGAACCGCAGCCTCGTTCACAGTCTCATAGGTTCGGCCGAACGTGAGCGCCGCAGCAGCCTGCGCATGCGTAACAGGCTTTAAGGGGTCAAACCGACGAACATTACCGAACACCAAGGGAATAACAGCCGCATTAGTAGCAGATTTGAAATCTTGCCCCCTCCCCTGCCCCTCCCCCAGCCCCTTCCCCCCGGCCTGCCCCCAACCCTCCTCTTCCCCCTCTGGTTGGTGCTCCATCCCCCCCCGGTGATGCAGGAAATCGAAAGAGACGGCTCTTTGGGCGGCAGGGGAGATTCGGGCGGCATCAATGAGCCCGCATGTGTGGCGCAGGGCGGCAAGGTCGGGCGGCGGGAGGTGGGAATACTCCAGAGCAAAGCGCCACGTCAGCAGATCCTGACGGGTGAGGGGACTGGTGCACGCACGCAAGAGACAACAGGGACAGGAGATGGGAAAGAGAAAGGTAAGAGGTGAAGTAATTTCATTTTTAGAGAATCCTTCTCATAGAGAAGGAGTCAAGAGGTGGATAGTCAACTCAGGCAAGGGAGTCTATTTCTGAGGCGCCTCAAAAAGAGGTGGATAGACAACTCGGGCAAGTGAGGCACTGGCCTTTCTTAACAACAAGGAAAGGCAGGAGGAAAAAGATCGATCAATCAATCAATCAATCAATCAATCAATCAATCAATCAATCAATCAATCAATCAATCAATCAATCAATCAATCAATCAATCAATAAATCAATCAATCAATCAATCAATCAATCAATCAATCAATCAATCAATCAATCAATTCTGCGTCGGGTAGGAGCATGCACCCGCGCTGCAAACCATCTGCCTTAAATTCTGGAAATCGGTAGCACCTCACAAGGCACTTGATGAGTCACCCCAACGCAACCTCCCTCACCCACATGGCTAGAGATTGCATGCCAAGTGATATGACACTGCACTTGCAACAACTCCCTGACTTGCAAAATCGCCCGTCCCTTATACTCACCTGTCTGGCCGGAATAGCGCCTCACCCTCCCCTGCACCTTCCCCTTCTGCTGCCCCTCCCGCCTCGTCCTTCCGACCCAACAGGCTGGGCAGAATGCCAGCTTCGGCCAGACCTGTGCGAGAGGTGCAGAAAGAATAGCAGGAATCAGAGAAAAAGATCGCGGAGTGCACGAAGGGATGCCGCAGGAGAGGAGGGATGGGATAGGAGTGCACGATGGGATGGCAGAGGAGAGGAGGGATGGGATAGGAGTGCACGATGGGATGGCAGAGGAGAGGAGGGATGGGATAGGAGTGCACGATGGGATGGCAGAGGAGAGGAGGGATGGGATAGGAGTGCACGATGGGATGGCAGAGGAGAGGAGGGATGAGATAGGAGTGCACGATGGGATGGCAGAGGAGAGGAGGGATGGGATAGGAGTGCACGATGGGATGGCAGAGGAGAGGAGGGATGGGATAGGAGTGCACGATGGGATGGCAGAGGAGAGGAGGGATGGGATAGGAGTGCACGATGGGATGGCAGAGGAGAGGAGGGATGGGATAGGAGTGCACGATGGGATGGCAGAGGAGAGGAGGGATGAGATAGGAGTGCACGATGGGATGGCAGAGGAGAGGAGGGATGGGATAGGAGTGCACGATGGGATGGCAGAGGAGAGGAGGGATGGGATAGGAGTGCACGATGGGATGGAAAAGATGAGGAATTGACATGGGAGAGGGATGGGGGGTGAATGAAACACCGTGATACAAGGGTTGCTAGCAACGAGTGTAGAAAGGAATGATAGGGAACATCAACCTTGAACAGAAAGGATATCTGGAAGCAACGATGGCGATAGCAACGGGGTTGATAGCAACGAGTGTGATTGAAATGGGGGTGCTGATAAAAGCTTGTTCAAAATAGAGAGAAGACTCACCTTGAATGGCGGCGAAGTCCTGGTCATCGGGTGCCACGTCAGCATAGGCCTGCTCCGATATCCCCTCTATAAACATGGCGGGATACACCCTATCGGTGGGCGAGGCCGAGAGCTTCTCACTGAAAGCCATCAGCCACGTGGCAAACTCCCTCCTCGTGCATATGCCAGCTGGTGCCACGTCAGCATCTATCACCTGATTGGTTGGTGGGAGCATGGGGAGGAGGAGTAGAGAGGAGGATTTATAAATCCGGTTCTAAACAAACAGTTATCACTCATCCCACATACTTGGTAGGGCTAGTCTGCACTTGGTTAGGAGAGCTTCCCCCACTTACAGAAATACACACTCACCTACACACTCATCCTACACACTCACACACTCCCTCTGCACACTCCCTCTACACACTCACCTACACAATCCAAACCTATAGGAAGAATTTTCACATGCGAGCACCCCCCACCCCCCCCAAACACCTATGATGCGCATCCCTTTCTCATAAGTTTCTCGATGACGATATTGCCCTTTCAGTTGGATCAGTCACGCTTGTGTAATCACCCTTGCATCCTTACCGTTTGTGTTTTCGAGGCGCCGCAGGAACATGTTTTTTCTTTTTAGGTGCCTGTTTTTGAGGTGTCTCAAATACAGACTTCTAGCCGGATCATCATCCTTGTGTAACCACCCTTACATCACCCATACATCACCCTTACATCACCCTTACATCACCCTTACACCCTTGCATCCTTGTGCATCCTTTCCCTTCGTGATTCTTCTGCTGCGCCCATGTGCAAGCCCTCGGAAGCCATGTATCTCACCTGAAGCTCCTTCAGTCCTTCCAGCATGCGGGCGTGCTCCGGGTTCACATGAGGCGCCACCACCACCCTCATCCTCTCCTCCCTCCCCCTTCCATGCCAACTCTGCAAGCCACCTCCCTGGGTTTACCTGAAGCTCTTTCTGTCCTTCCAACATGCAAGCATGCTCCGGCCTCACATGATGCAGCACCACCATTCGCATCCTCTTCCACTTCCCCTTTCCAGCCGTGTTTTTGAGTCGACTCACGCCATTCACCTTGCTTGCAATCACTCTGGAGTCCCTCTCTCACCTGAAGCTCCTTCAGTCCTTCCAGCATGCGTGCATGCTCCGGGTTCACATGAGGCGCCACCACCACCCTCATCCTCTCCTCCCTCCCCCTTCCCACCACCACCCCTCTCCATCCCCCAGCACCCATACCCTTTGTCACCCCCCCCTCCTCCACCGCACTCCCCCCCTCTCCCTCTCCGATTCCCCTCCCGTCTTCCTTCACACTCTCTCCCTCACTCGATTCTTCCCCCGTTCCTTCTCTCCTGTTCTCCTCTCCTCCCTCCACCGCCTCCCCCTCTGCTGCTTCTGCACCTGCCTTCAGCCCTCGCCTCCCCTTATCAGTTTCTTGGGATGACATATCTACCAGGATGGAACGAGAAAGCACACCGGAGAACACATTAGAACGTGCTTGTTCTATTCCAATTCTCCAGTGCGCTTTCTCCATTGTGCACACAGAATTTGGTTGTTCAAGTCAGACTCATACAGAAGGAGACGGCAAACTATAACACATCAGAGCTGGACATTCCCTTCCTCTGTTGAAATCTCGAACAACGGGCAGCAGCCTACAAAAAGATAATCAGAATTGAAATCTGCTAATGGGAGGTGGTTATATCGAGAGAAAAAGTCGTTTCACCTTCATGAGCGCTGACGGTGGTGACTGAATCACGACGTGAGTGTAGCAGAGGGATGCCTGTAGGGAGAGACACGATGGTGTGAAGTGAACATGGGCGAGGCACTCAAACGAAAGCATGGGTGTCGCACGAGAGGGCGAGGCTTACTGTGGGTTCATTGCATCGCAACATTCAACTGAGAAAAGCGAAAAAAAAAAAAAAAAAAAAAAAAATGCGTGAGAGACTTCTAGCAAATATTTCAGTAACAATTAATTCTACAAGTTGAATCAGTTGCTGCCACGTAAAGGCTATGGCTCCCGTTTGGGGCTCCAAGCACAGCGCTATGCTGGATCCACCCCCATTCCATATTTTTCCGCCTTGGCTTCCAGCCCCTCCGTCTCCCCCTCCCCACCCACCCCTCGTCTGGTCAATCCCTGCTCTGTCTTCACAAGCTTCATGCACTCTCTGGTTCACCACTCCCATACGCACCTTTGTCGCTCAGAGTCCCTCGGTACAACAGCACGGCACCGCACAGCAGAGAGGCGATCAGAAGAGGCTCTGAGGAATCGGGGCAGGAGGGGAGCGGAAAGGGGATAGCACCACACCACAGGGAGGCGATCAGACGAGGCATGAGCGGAAGGGGTGTGGGATGAGAGGGGGATGAGAGGCGGATGAGAGGCGGATGAGAGGAGGATGACAGGGTAAGGACCAGACACCATCACACCATCACAGCATCACCATAACCATCACATTCACCAGAACCAGAACCAACTCACTTGCGATCGGCGCCTTTCGACGCGAAGCGGGTGGTCCAGGCCAGGCAACCCGAACCACGTCAGACGACCAACCGTTGAACGCCAGCTGTCGCACCACCACTGCCTCGCCGCTGCCCGCAGCAACGGATGACGTGTCACGAGAAGATGCTGAGTCAGCAAATGCTGACTCAGCAGGCCAGCTCCAGGAACTCAGCGCCACCTCCTCTTCACTGCTTCTAATCTGCCCAGGGTGGATCTCGGATCCTTTACAGTGGTTACCAGCGCGATGGTTACTGTTACTGCTTCTGTTCGTACGAGCTGGCTTCTGCGGATCTCCTTGTCCTGTAGCCGGTACCTGAACGACAACTTGCGCCGTCTTTCGAGATGCTTTAACTTCAAAAGCCCACTTGTCGCTGTGAGCACCGTCGCTCTCGGTGTTTCCTTCCGCTGTGCTGTCATCACTATCACTCTCAAAATCAATCTCAGCTTCAGATTCAACTTCGATTTCAACATCGTCATCGCCATCGCGAGCGTTTTCGTGAGTCTTCGCCAAGCTGTCCACGAGAGCCTTGGCGACGTCGTGAGGGATCATGGGCGACCTGCTGGCATCGGCGCGCAGCGAAACCTGATCATAGCATGTTCCGGAGCCATGATAGGCTTTATCATCACCACTGGAATATCTTCGGTCACCATCGGAATCGCTTAGGCGATAGGCATTGCCAGGGCCATAGGGATTGCCGTCTCTATCGCTGTCGCTAAAAGGAGTATCACCGCCAGGATTGTTCTCCACCCAGTCCCAGTGCCGGCTCTGAGCAGACGCGCGGCGGAACAGCCTATCCCGGCCAGACAGGTGGATACTAGCCGAGCCGTTTTCGCTAGGCGAGAACCCGTGGCGGCCTTTCCGGAAGTTGTTATTTGACGATCGTAACCGTTTTATTTTGAATAATCCCAGTGGATCCGCGTACAGTTGACCCGCGGCTGCGACTCCCACTATTCTGCTCGAGCTCGGAAGGCTAACTAGCAGCCTCGCGCGCTCGCCGCCGCATATAGCGGACGTTCGCATGATGCCAGCTGACAGAGGACTTCGATCGAGAGTCTTCTACGAAGTAACGGTAGCTAGTCGAAACTAGGTTTCGTTACTGAATCAACAATAGCGATCTCCTGTAACGGACATGGTTGCAAAAAGAGGCACGATACCAACGAATGTGGCCATCAAAGGCGGAATGTGGCAAGGGAGGCAGTGGCGAATTCGAGAAAAAGAGGCTGAATCCGAAAGAAAGCGGGTGACATGGACGAGGTGTTTCCGTGGTTTCGTGATGTGGAATCAAGTATATGCACCGTTGGCGAGTCTCACGGCTAACGGTTCAAAAGTGACAAACACGTCAGCTAGGCAAGTGCATGGCCAATCAGAGGCGAAAGATGGTCAGTGGCGTGGCAACGAAGGTGCTTCTTTCGAGGACACCGAGGACTTTCACGTCTGGCCTGAATACACGTGGCTGGTGAGGTGATTGGTGCGACCTTCTCCAAGCCAACAAACGCTCTCGTCTCTAGCTGTTACAGTAGTATTTTCAGGGTTACTAACCTGTAGATATTTAAGTGCACAATACAATGCTAAGAACACTATCCAATGTTATAACCTATAATACGGGGGCTAGATATGAAAAAACGTATCAACGCAGCCTTCCTATGAGAATCTATTACAAAAATAAAATAAATAACGTTGCTAAAGTTACAATGAATATAGCACTTCACATCCTTGTCGATTTATTATCAAAACCAAGCAATATGATGCAACTGGGGTCCAAGTGGGGAGTGTGGGTCCGAGGATGGCTCGCCATCCGGTCAAGCTGGTCTGGGCCCGCAAGCGCGGACCAAAACTTATGTGACACGCCCTAAACAATGGAACTGATTATTACGATGTCGGGTTACCGTTATAGACTGTTTTCGCCACAATCACCTGGCTCAAGCAGCCATCTCCCCCCCCCCAACAAACCAATCTAAAGGCTGCTCCATTCACGCCTTTTCCTCTTCCGCAAATCACGTTCCTAGGTATTTACTGTTCCTAGGACGCCGAGCATTTGTTCCTCATTCTCTTAGTACTGGTTACAAGTGCTAGCGAGGGCCTCTTAGATTCAAGTGCAAAGAGTGTCCTTGACCAGGTTCGGTCTTCTAAGGGTGTCGATATTTGAAACGTCAGTGGCACGGGCGAAGTTATCATTTCCCCTTCGTCTTTTAGGGTAACTTTATTTTCTCGTATTCTCTGCGCGCGGCCATGAATCCGTCGCGCCCTGGAGGGTATGGCGCGCGGTCAGGCCGGTACGGAGGGGCAGCAGGAACCCCCGCGGGCGCGGGCAAGGGGCCCGGCGGACCGTCGTCGCGCAGCAATGCGGCGCTGCAGGCGCAGCAGCGGCTCCGCGCGCTCATGTCGAACACGTCGGATGAATCCCAAGAAGACTACGGCAGCCAGGTGCGCGCGCTGTCTGCGTGTGCGCGCGGGTCGTAGTGTGCCGGCTGTATTGTGCCGGCCTTAGTGTGCCGGTCTTAATGTGCCGGTCCTAGTAGTGTGAAGATCTTAGTATTCCCCGATGATTACGGCGTGCCGACCGCAGTGTGTCTGTCGTAGAATGCATGGAACAGGTCCCCAAGAGCTCAGGAGCGACTGCCTCGTTATTAACGCAGTGCCGGAATGGGCAAACTCGCGGCCGCATGCCACCTGGCTTAGTTTGTTCCGGAGCCATCCGGTTTACTGAACGATTAGATAGGTCTTGGCCATCTGCGTGAAGCTATGTTTAGCATGGTAAGACGTGAAGCCCATGCCTTGATATTGACGATGAGTGAGACGATGAGGCGACGAGCCAATGACTTTAGGACAAGAACGGTTGGTTGATTTCAGCGATGTGGAAGACTAGGTCGACGACGACGGCAGACTGAGGTCAACACGACGAGAAATTTCTTTCAGTGTTTCGAGGATAAGGTCAACAAGGCGATGAGCTTAGGCTAAGGATTGTCAGATGACGTCAGCATTGACGAAAGTCAGGTCATCGTCGGTCAACTTTAGGTCGACGAAGAGATTAGGTCAACGATGATATTTGACGCCAGCAGTGGCGAAGTCTCGACGGCAGACTGAGGTCAAGGCCAGGAGACTGATGTCGATGACGTTAGACTGGGAGTCAACGCTGGTAGTCAACGCTGGGTGTCAACGCTGGGAGTCAACGCCGGGAGTCAACGCTGAGAGTCAACGGGATGTCAACGCGATAGGTTCAGTCAACGCTTTTCAGTGGGCCCAAAACTGCTGAGAGTGCTGACCTGAAACGGGGAGGTTATTATGTGGGATGTTAAGCATGACTATTTCTTTACATGGTTACAGTTACACCCTTTAAGTTCGGATATCTTCTTTACTAAACTATAGGTATCTGCTCTTGTGAAATGCTTCCTGTCCTGATTCGCGCACCCCGTTTTCCCCGTCGTTTCCCCTCTCCCCACATCCCAGCTCCCCAGGTCGGGCGGGGGAATGCGCCAGCCCCCCCACTGGGGCCGCTATGGGGTGCCCGCGGCCGGCAGGGGGAGGATACGACGCGCCCGATCTCACCCACCCCATTTTTTTTAGATGTCTTAAACTCCCCCCTCCCTGCCCGTTTTCCCCCTCACTCCCCCCTCTCCCCGCCTCCCAGCTCCCCAGGTCCGCGGGGGGAATGCGCCAGCCCCCCACTGGGGGCGCTATGGGGCGCACGCGGCCGGCAGGGGGCGGATATGACGCGCCCGACCCCATGGGGGACCCGTACCGAGGGGGGGGCGGAATGGGCGGATACGACATGGGACGACGCCCGTACGTGTGGGATGGTACATGGGGAGGTGCATGCGTGGGTTGGTGCATGGGGAGGAGAGACGCGGGAATGTGTGGGTGTGATGTTGTGCGGGGTTGGCAGGGGGCTGATGTGACGCGCCCGACCCCATGGGGTTCCTGTACCGATGGGGGGGAGGCATTGGCGGATACGACATGGGGCGACGACCGTACGTGTGGGATGAGTGTGATGGATGGATGGGTGTATGACATGGGGGGGAGGCATGGGTGTATGACTTGGGGCGACGCGCGTGCATGTGCATGTGACATGGGTGCATGGGGAGGCGAATGTGTGGGATGGTGCATGGGGAGGGGAGACGCGGGAATGTGTGGGTGTGATGATGTGAGGGATGGGGGGGGGGCGGATACGACTCACCTGACCCCATGGGGGACCTGTACCGAGGGGGGGGAGGCATGGGCGGATATGACATGGGACGACGCCCGTACGTATGGGATGGTGCATGGGGGAGGGGAGATGCGGGAATGTGTGTGATGTGATGGTGTAGCGACGCCTGTACCGAGGGGGGGATGGGGGGGCATAGGCTGATACAGCATGAATGAGGCGACGCCTGTACGCGCTGCATTGAAATCCACTTTTGAGAATTCTCATTAGTGATTTTCCTGTACGCGCTGGAGAGGAGATGCGTGAATGCTCCTCCTCACTTTGACAACGCATCCGCGTTGCTACTCTGCATCACGCTTCACCCCACCCAACTGCACCTCTTCACAGTCCTCCGCGCCTCGTTTCACCCCTCTGCACCGCCCTCGTCGCTCTGGCAGGGATACAGTAGCGTCCCGGCAGGAGATGGAGAGCATCAAGCGCGAATCAGCCAAGCTCAAGGACGATGTAAGAGCAGCGCTTACCTAAAAGGATTATGTAAGAAGCGTGAAAGAGCGAGGCAAGCTCAAGGACGATGTGAGAGCAGGGAGTGCCTAAAGCCATGAATGAGCCATGAATGAGCCATGAATGAGCCATGAATGAGCCATGAATGAGCCATGAATGAGCCATGAATGAGCCATGAATGAGCCATGAATGAGCCATGAATGAGCCATGAATGAGCCATGAATGAGCCATGAATGAGCCATGAATGAGCCATGAATGAGCCATGAATGAGCCATGAATGAGCCATGAATGAGCCATGAATGAGCCATGAATGAGCCATGAATGAGCCATGAATGAGCCATGAATGAGCCATGAATGAGCCATGAATGAGCCATGAATGAGCCATGAATGAGCCATGAATGAGCCATGAATGAGCCATGAATGAGCCATGAATGAGCCATGAATGAGCCATGAATGAGCCATGAATGAGCCATGAATGAGCCATGAATGAGCCATGAATGAGCCATGAATGAGCCATGAATGAGCCATGAATGAGCCATGAATGAGCCATGAATGAGCCATGAATGAGCCATGAATGAGCCATGAATGAGCCATGAATGAGCCATGAATGAGCCATGAATGAGCCATGAATGAGCCATGAATGAGCCATGAATGAGCCATGAAATGAGCCATGAATGAGCCATGAATGAGCCATGAATGAGCCATGAATGAGCCATGAATGAGCCATGAATGAGCCATGAATGAGCCATGATGAGCCATGAATGAGCCATGAATGAGCCATGAATGAGCCATGAATGAGCCATGAATGAGCCATGAATGAGCCATGAATGAGCCATGAATGAGCCATGAATGAGCCATGATGAGCCATGAATGAGCCATGAATGAGCCATGAATGAGCCATGAATGAGCCATGAAATGAGCCATGAATGAGCCATGAATGAGCCATGAATGAGCCATGAATAGCCATGAATGAGCCATGAAATGAGCCTGAATGAGCCATGAATGAGCCCATGAATGAAGCCATGAATGAGCCATGAATGAGCCATGAATGAGCCATGAATGAGCCATGAATGAGCCATGAATGAGCCATGAATGAGCCATGATGAGCCATGAATGAGCCATGAGACCAGATGAGGCCATGAATGACCATGAATGAGCCATGAAAGTGATCCATGAATGAGCCATGAATGAGCCATGAATGAGCCATGAATGAGCCATGAATGAGATGAGCCATGAATGAGCCATGAATGAGCCATGAATGAGCCATGAATGAGCCATGAATGAGCCATGAATGAGCCATGAATGAGCCATGAATGAGCCATGAATGAGCCATGAATGAGCCATGAATGAGCCATGAATGACATGAATGAGCATGAATGAGCCATGAATGAGCCATGAATGAGCCATGAATGAGCCATGAATGAGCCATGAATGAGCCATGAATGAGCCATGAATGAGCCATGAATGAGCCATGAATGAGCCATGAATGAGCCATATGAATGAGCATGAATGAGCCATGTCACAGCCATGCTCCTTGTCCCTCCGCCCCTTCTGCCTCTTACCTCGCTTCTCTGCCATCTCGTTTCCCCCGTTCTCTTTTTGCCGTTTCCTCAGCTTAATGTGCTCGTCACTGTCCTCCATGTCCCACTCCTTCTCTCCCCTTCCCTCCTCTTTCCTCCTTATCTACCATCTCGTTTTTCTCTTCTCGTTTGCCTTTTCCTCAGCTTAATGTGCTCGTCACTGTGCTCCCTGCCCCCTTGCCGCTCTCTTCCTGCCCGTGTTTGATGCACCTCAAAACTAGACTCAGCTAGCTAGCTTAATGTGCTCGTCACTGTGTCCCATCCCCTCTGCTCCTCTTCCCGCCTCGTCTTCGCAGCTGGATGTACTCACAGAGGAAAACGAGTTCCTGGTGGATAAGGTGAGCTGATGGGGGTTTCGGAGAGTGGGGGATACATTGGTGGGGGGGCAGTGGGCCTCAGATGTCTGTTCACCCAGCTGGACGTACTCACTGAGGAAAACGAGTTCCTGCTGGATAAGGCGAGCTGATGGGGGTGAATTGGTAGGGGGGCAGTGTTCGAGGCAATTCAAAAAGGTCTGTTCCCCCAGCTGGATGTTCTCACAGAGGAAAACGAGTTCCTGCTGGATGTGCTGTAAGCTGTTTCTGTTGTGCTGTAAGCTGTTTTTGTTGTGCTGTAAGCTGTTTCTGTTGTGCTGTAAGCTGTGTCTGATGTGCTGTAAGCTGTGTCTGATGTGCTGTAAGCTGTTTCTGATGTGCTGTAAGCTGTTCATTCATATGTTCAATCTGAGGCTGGAAGTGCCGCGTTCCCTCTACCCTCCGCTCTTGAGCAGCTGCGCATGACAGCGGAGGATCTCAGGGCTATCCCTTATTTCCCCACTGCTTCCCCCCTGTGCTCTCCCGGCCTCCCCACCCCTCACCCCCCCTTGTGCAGCTGCGCATGGCAGAGGAGGACTCACGTCTCTATTCACTCTCTCCCCCCCCCTCCCCCCTCCCCCCTCCCCCCTCTCCCCTCCCCCCTCCCCCCTCCCTCCTTCCCCCGTCCCTTTCCCCCCTTGTGCAGCTGCGCATGGCGGAGTAGGACCTCAAGGAGAAGCAGGCGCGCGTGCAAGGCCATCCCTCACTCTTCCCCCAACCCTTTCCCACCCCTCCCATTCACCTCCCCTTCCCCTCCCCGGTTTTCCCTCTCGCGCCGCCCCTCCCCTCCGCCCCTGCAGCTGCGCATGGCAGAGGGGGACCTGAGGGCTATCCTTCTCCGCCTCTCACTGTGTCCCCTTCCCCCCTTTTGCTTCCGCCTTCTCCCCCTCTCCCCTCCGCCCCTGCAGCTGCGCATGGCAGAGGAGAGGAGGACCTCAAGTCTATGCTTCTCCGCCTCTCACTGTGTTCCCTCTCCCCTTTTTCCCCACACTCCCTCTCTCCCCTTTTTCCCCACACTCCCTCTCTCCCCTTTTTCCCCACACTCCCTCTCTCCCCTTTTTCCCCACACTCCCTCTCTCCCCTTTTTCCCCACACTCCCTCTCTCCCCTTTTTCCCCACACTCCCTCTCTCCCCTTTTTCCCCACACTCCCTCTCTCCCCTTTTTCCCCACACTCCCTCTCTCCCCTTTTTCCCACACTACCCTCTCTCCCCTTTTTCCCCACACTCCCTCTCTCCCCTTTTTCCCCACACTCCCTCTCTCCCCTTTTTCCCTCACTCCCTCTCTCCCCTTTTTCCCCACACTCCCCCTCTCCACTTTTTCCCCACACTCCCCCTCTCCACTTTTCCCCACACTCCCCCTCTCCCCTTTTTTCCCACACTCCCCCTCTCCCCTTTTTCCCCACACTCCCTCTCTCCCCTTTTTCCCCACACTCCCTCTCTCCCCTTTTTCCCCACACTCCCTCTCTCCCCTTTTTCCCCACACTCCCTCTCTCCCCTTTTTCCCCACACTCCCTCTCTCCCCTTTTTCCCACACTCCCTCTCTCCCCTTTTTCCCCACACTCCCTCTCTCCCCTTTTTCCCCACACTCCCTCTCTCCCCTTTTTCCCCACACTCCCTCTCTCCCCTTTTTCCCCACACTCCCTCTCTCCCCTTTTTCCCCACACTCCCTCTCTCCCCTTTTTCCCCTCACTCCCTCTCTCCCCTTTTTCCCCACACTCCCCTCTCCACTTTTCCCCACACTCCCCCTCTCCACTTTTTCCCCACACTCCCCCTCTCCCCTTTTTTCCCACACTCCCCCTCTCCCCCTTTTTCCCCACACTCCCTCTCTCCCCTTTTTCCCCACACTCCCTCTCTCCCCTTTTTCCCCACACTCCCTCTCTCCCCTTTTTCCCCACACTCCCTCTCTCCCCTTTTTCCCCACACTCCCTCTCTCCCCTTTTTCCCCACACTCCCTCTCTCCCCTTTTTCCCCACACTCCCTCTCTCCCCTTTTTCCCCACACTCCCTCTCTCCCCTTTTTCCCCACACTCCCTCTCTCCCCTTTTTCCCCACACTCCCTCTCTCCCCTTTTTCCCCACACTCCCTCTCTCCCCTTTTTCCCCTCACTCCCTCTCTCCCCTTTTTCCCCACACTCCCCCTCTCCACTTTTTCCCCACACTCCCCCTCTCCACTTTTTCCCCACACTCCCCCTCTCCCCTTTTTTCCCACACTCCCCCTCTCCCCTTTTTCCCCACACTCCCCCTCTCCCCTTTTTCCCCACACTCCCTCTCTCCCCTTTTTCCCCACACTCCCCCTTTCCCCTTTTTTCCCACAATCCCCCTCTCCCCTTTTTCCCCACACTCCCCCTCTCCCCTTTTTCCCCACACTCCCTCTCTCCCCTTTTTCCCCACACTCCCTCTCTCCCCTTTTTCCCCACACTCCCTCTCTCCCCTTTTTCCCCACACTCCCTCTCTCCCCTTTTTCCCCACACTCCCTCTCTCCCCTTTTTCCCCACACTCCCTCTCTCCCCTTTTTCCCCACACTCCCTCTCTCCCCTTTTTCCCCACACTCCCTCTCTCCCCTTTTTCCCCACACTCCCTCTCTCCCCTTTTTCCCCACACTCCCTCTCTCCCCTTTTTCCCCTCACTCCCTCTCTCCCCTTTTTCCCCACACTCCCCCTCTCCACTTTTTCCCCACACTCCCCCTCTCCACTTTTTCCCCACACTCCCCCTCTCCCCTTTTTTTCCCACACTCCCCCTCTCCCCTTTTTCCCCACACTCCCCCTCTCCCCTTTTTCCCCACACTCCCTCTCTCCCCTTTTTCCCCACACTCCCCCTTTCCCCTTTTTTCCCACAATCCCCCTCTCCCCTTTTTCCCCACACTCCCCCTCTCCCCTTTTTCCCCAAACTCCCCCTCTCCTCTCCCCCCGCCCCTGCAGCTGCGCATGGCGGAGGAGGACCTCAAGGAGAAGCAGGCGCGAGTGCAGAGCTATCCCTCACTCTTTTCCCCCCTCGTTGCCCTCTCTTTCCCACACTACAGCTGCGCATGGCCGAGGAGGACCTCAAGGAGAAGCAGGCGCGCGTGCAGGAGCTGGAGAAGCAGGTGGGGGAGGGGAGGGGGGTGGGGGGGTGCGCGGGAAGGGCAGGGGAATGATTGAGAGGGGTAATGGGAGAGGTGGTTAAGAGGAGGGGCTGACTTGATTGAAGGAGAAGAAGGCGCGCGGGCAGGAGCTGGAGAAGCAGGTGGGTGGGGGGGAGGTTAGTGAGAGGGGGGAATGAGAGGTTGGAGTGGGAGGAGGGAGTGAGAGGAGTGAGTGAGAGGTTGGGGTAGTGAGGAGGGCGAGGGGAGAGTTAAGTCAAGGCCAAAACAAGTCAAGTCGGTTTGGTTCGGCTCGGTTCGGTTTGGCCCAGATCGGTTCGGTCAGGTTGGGTCGGGTCGGCCCAAGCCGAACTGAGTTGGGCCGGGCCGGGCCAAGCTGAGTTGAGTCGAGAAAAGTCACTACCACTGCCACTGCCCTTCTGTGTAGGCATTGGCTTTCCACATACTGCCCGTACTCTACCCTTGGACCGCGCTCCACCGCTTTCTGCCACTCAATCTCTTGCTCTATCCCTCTGTCGCCCTGCAGGTGGCCAAGATGGGAGAAGGGCTCAGCCTGGAGGCCCGTCTTCTCAACAAGTGAGCAAAACCCAAACGAATTTTAAAACTGGATACCTGGGGTCAACCCGATTTATCCAATCCAGACACCACTCCCCCCTCCTTCCTCCCCCATCGCCCCCTCCTCCCCGGCGCCCCCCCTCCCTTTGAGCCCAGCCAGTTCTCTTCCTCCTGAACCTTCTTCTCCGCTTGTCTTTCTTTCTCTGCGCTGCTCCCCCCCCATCTCCCCCCCGGTCCCCCGCCTCATTTTGCTACTCTGATTTTCAAGACATCTCTGAACTCATTTGCTGCGCAAATTTCTTGAGTTTCTGTTTTGAGGTGCCTTAAAAGGCGTTTCTTGAGGCAAATCTCGTGAAGGCGTTGACAGACAGGCATGCTTTTGAGTCGACTCAAAAGTTGACAGACAGGCAATGCTCCTCCCCTCCCCTCCTTGCGCCCCTCGCATCCCCCCTGGCAGGAAAGAGGCGGTTCTCAAGCAGCGCGAGGTAATTTCTGTTCACTAATACTCGCACCGCTCCTGCTTGCATGCTAATGCTCGCACTGCTCCTGCTTGCATGCCAATGCTCGCCTGTATGCATGGATTACTCATCCAGATCTTCTGGCCTTGTTCACCCATCCGTGATCTGACAGCCCTGCCCTGCCCTGCCCATGCCTTCATGCATACCCTTTGATGGCCTGCTTTGATTGCCATGCTCTGTTCTCACCTGCCTGTGCGCCCTTGCTGTTGTGCTGCCTGTGCCACCTGCCTGTGCGCATGCTTGCGTGTGTGTGTGTGGGGTATGACATGGCAGGCGAGTCTGAAGGAGATGAAGGACAAGAGCAAGGACGTGAAGGAGGTGGAGATCACCACGCTCAGGATGGAGCTCGAGGTGAGGAAAGGAGTGAAGGGGAGTGAAAGGGAGTGCAAATGGGTGGGAGTGGGTGGGAGTGGGCGAGAGTGTGTGTCGCTGAATGAGAGGGAGTGTAGCCATGAAGGACAAGAGCAAGGACGTGAAGGAGGCGGAGATCTCCACGCTTAGGATGGAGCTCGAGGTGAGGGAGTGGATGGGAGTGAAGGGGAGTGGAAGGGGAGTGGGCGAGCGAGGAGGTGCAGGCACTGAGGAGTCGCAGAAGCGAGGAGGCAGCACCCACTCACCCAACCCAACCCATCCCACCCACCCCATCCCACCCACCCCATCCCACCCACCCCATCCCACCCCATCCCACCCACCCCATCCCACCCACCCCATCCCACCCACCCCATCCCACCCACCCCATCCCACCCACCCCATCCCACCCACCCCATCCCACCCACCCCATCCCACCCACCCCATCCCACCCACCCCATCCCACCCACCCCATCCCACCCACCCCATCCCACCCACCCCATCCCACCCACCCCATCCCACCCACCCCATCCCACCCACCCCATCCCACCCACCCCATCCCACCCACCCCATCCCACCCACCCCATCCCACCCACCCCATCCCACCCACCCCATCCCACCCACCCCATCCCACCCACCCCATCCCACCCACCCCATCCCACCCACCCCATCCCACCCACCCCATCCCACCCACCCCATCCCACCCACCCCATCCCACCCACCCCATCCCACCCACCCCATCCCACCCACCCCATCCCACCCACCCCATCCCACCCACCCCATCCCACCCACCCCATCCCACCCACCCCATCCCACCCACCCCATCCCACCCACCCCATCCCACCCACCCCATCCCACCCACCCCATCCCACCCACCCCATCCCACCCACCCCATCCCACCCACCCCATCCCACCCACCCCATCCCACCCACCCCATCCCACCCACCCCATCCCACCCACCCCATCCCACCCAACCCATCCCACCCACCCCACCCCATCCCACCCCATCCCACCCACCCCATCCCACCCACCCCATCCCACCCACCCCATCCCACCCACCCCATCCCACCCACCCCATCCCACCCACCCCATCCCACCCACCCCATCCCACCCACCCCATCCCACCCACCCCATCCCACCCAACCCATCCCACCCACCCCATCCCACCCACCCCATCCCACCCACCCCATCCCACCCACCCCATCCCACCCACCCCATCCCACCCACCCCATCCCACCCACCCCATCCCACCCACCCCATCCCACCCACCCCATCCCACCCACCCCAGTCCCAGAGGGAGGAGGCGGCAGCAGCGTTGGAGGAGGCAAGGCAGGCGAGCGAGGAGGTGAGGCGGCTGAGGAGCCTCACGGCGCCTATCAACTGATAATATACCCCCCTGTACCATGCGCTTTTCGATGTGCTCTCCCATGTGTGCATTGTTGCACCCCCTGCAGTCCCAGAGGGAGGAGGCAGCAGCAGCGTTGGAGGAGGCGAGGCAGGCGAGTGAGGAGGTGAGGGCGCTGAGGAGCCTCACGGCGCGCATTCTGCTCACTCCCGAGGAGAAGGAGGAGGTGGTGCTCAAGCGCTGCTGGCTCGCGCGCTACTGGGCGCTGGCCTCTCGCCACGGTACGGCTGTGTGTGTGTGTGTGTGTGTGTGTGTGTGTGTGTGTGTGTGTGTGTGTGTGTGTGTGTGTGCTCGTGACTGGTGCATGTGTGTCTCCTGCTCGACTGCAAAAGTGTTCTCAAAGGAAGCCTCACAGCGCGCATTCTGCTGACGCCCGAGGAGAAGGAGGAGGTGGTGCTCATATGCTGCTGGCTCGCGCGCTACTGGGCGCTGGCCTCTCGCCACAGTAAATTGATGTTCTGCACAGCTTAGCTCTTATTTATGCTGAGATTGCCAGCTACCGCAGCGACCACTGGGAGAAGTACTCGCCTCTGACCCTCACAAATGGACGTAGGGAGTGGTGGTTAATGCATCTCCACTCCTCTTTTTCCCTCCCAACTCCTTCCCTCCTCCTCCCTTCTACTAATCCAGGCATGCATGCTGAGATCGCCAGCTCTCGCAGCAACCACTGGCAGAAGTACTCGCCTCTGCCCTTCTAACTGGTCATTGACACATCACATCTCCTCTTCACCCGCCCAACTCTCCCTGTCCTCCCCCTCCCTTCTCTTTTCTGTCTCTCTTGCTCTCTCTCCCCTCTCCAGGCGTGCATGCGGAGATCGCTAGCTCCCGCAGCGACCACTGGCAGAAGTACTCGCCTCTGCCCTTCGAGGTGGTCATTGTCATCGACACATCTCCCCTCTCTTTCTCCCCCTCCCACCTTTCCCTTTCCTCCCCGCACTCACTGCCTCTCTCTCTCTTCCTAATCGAACCAGGTGTGCATGCGGAGATCGCCAGCTCTCGCAGCGACCACTGGCAGAAGTACTCGCCTCTGCCCTTTTGAAGGGAGGTGGTGAATGATGCATCTCATCTCATCTCATCTCCCCTCTTTTCCCCTCCCCACTCCTCCCCTCCACCTCCTCCTCCCTTCTTCAGGTGTGCATGCGGAGATCGCCAGCTCTCGCAGCGAACACTGGCAGAAGTACTCTCCTCTGCCCTTCGAGGTGGTCATTGACGCGGGCAGGAAGGCCCGGGAGGAGCCTGACGGTGGCGAGAAAGGTGAGGCGCGGTTGTGTGAGGGGCAAGGAAGGGGAGGGGGGAAAAGAGGGATGGCGGGTAAGTAGAAGTACTCGCCTTTGCCCTTCGAGGTGGTCATTGACGCGGGCAGGAAGGCCCAGGAGGAGCCCGACGGCGGGGAGAAAGGTGAGAGAGAGAGAGAGAGAGAGAGAGAGAGAGAGAGAGAGAGAGAGAGAGAGAGAGAGAGAGAGAGAGAGAGGGGGAGGGAGAAAGGGGGATTCCAAATTTTCCGGTGCTCGTTTCGAGAGAGCGAGAGAGAAAGGGGGACTTAGCCTCTTCCCTCCTAGCCTCTTCCCCTTCCCCCAGCTATATAATGGCCAGCCGGCACCTTCCCTAGCTCATTATTCATTTGGTGATTCCAAATTTTCCGGCGCTTCGCGCCGACGGCCTTCGGCCGCCGGCGCTCGCGTGCGCGGCCTACGGCCGCGCATTTTAGGAGGCAAGCTTAGGTAACGGGACAACTTTAGCAGACAGCATGGCGACAAACATCATCAACTAGCAGGCATCATGGAGAAGGTCTACACAAGACAAAGGGGGGCACCTACATGCGGTCCGCCCCCAGAAACGAGAGCATTCCGCGCGTGGTCTGCCACAAGTGGCGGACCACTGACACGCAGGCGGTTAGAGCATCTCCTGGTGTGCCTTCAACCGACCCTGCAATGTGCCTCAGATCCAGGGCCGCGCGAGCCAGCAGGTTGGCCGCGTCTGCACCCGGGGAGGGCGCTGCCTGCAGTGGCGCCAAGAGGGATAGGATCTCATCCGCCGCCCCCAAGCACGCTGCTTGCGGTTTCTCAGCAAATGTGCTCGGGCGGGATATCGGCATCGACGCACGAGTCGACCGGAGAACACGCGCCAGTGCCTCTAGGCACTCCGACAGTATCCACAGCTGACGCAGGGTCGCCGTGGAACATGAATACTCCGCCTCCTCAAGGCGAGGACGAGGGTCACGATACGGACCCCTTGCTGGGCCTCCGCCAGCGCCAACAAAACCCGGGAGAACAGGCGGTTGCTGGACAGAGCGATGCGGGGACACCGCACGGTTGGCTACCTCGACAATGGCGGGAAGAGAACGAGGAGCGTCTGGCGGAACGGAGCGACAGGCTGTCGCCGCCTGCGACTCACGGAGAGCAGTTGCGAGCACGTCCGGAAGCCTCTCCAGGGCGCGCGCAAAGTCCGACGCAGACTGGCGACCCCCGCCCCCGCGTCCGCGGCCCCCGCGACTGCCACGCCGCCCACGACTATTCGACCACGAGCGGGCTGGAGATTGGGGCCGGGACGTGCTGCGCGGGCGGAGCGCAGGGGATCGCTCGCGACGCGATGGAGAATGGCGCCGCTGGCGCTTCACCGGCGATTCGCGCGGAGAACGGCGAGCAGGAGAGCGACGCCCTGAGGATCGGCGCGCGGGTGAATGACAGCGAGGCGAATGGCTAGATGGGGAACGGTGACTTGGCGAACGACGCCCAGGGGAACGGCTGCGGCTCCCCTGACGACGAGGGGAGCGACGCTCGCGGCGATCTTCACGCCGCCCCTCGCAGCGTTCGTCACGAGGCTCAGGCGTCCGACGACGCGGAGAACGCCCCCGGTGCGGCTCCGCCAAGGCGCCAGAACGCACAGCGGACTCCGCGCGGGTTGCCACTCTCGGAGGCGAATCAGCGACGCGCGGCCCGGGAGGACGGCGCTGGTCCTCAAATCGGCGCCGGATTTGGTCCGCAGCAGCGGGAGGACGAGCAGGAACGCTCACCGCCGGGCGTGGCGGAAGCACAGGTGCACTCTCCGCGGTACACTCGCGGTCGTGGGCGGACGGAAGCGCCATCTGCGCAAGCACAAGGCGCAATTCCAACACAAGGGGAGCCTACAACCCCAACTTTCCCCACGCAACAGGCGGCGCTAGCAGCAGGGACCCCGCAGAGCGGACGGGGAAGCGCGCGGGGGAGAGGATCGCGACGAGGAGCGCGCGGAGGACAGAGGAGCGCAGGTCAAGCGGCGAGGGGGCGCGGGCGCCAACCACCGAGCCCAATCTGGCTAGGGGAGCCGGCGGAACGAATCACGCGGCAGTCGTTCGCTAGGCGCGGGGCGAGAGGTGGTGCACCAGCGCAAGCAGGGAGGAACGTCGATATCATCAGAGAGGCGAGAGACGAGGACTATATACCGTCAGATCTGAGGCAACCAGACAATCCCGACTCACCTCGCGCGGAATCAGGAGAGGAGGTGGCGCAGCAACAGGAGAGAGGAACCAACCGCAGACAGCAGCGCAGAGCCCAGCCCCCACCGGACCAAGCCCTATCTGCGTCCCAGCTGGCCTCGCGGGAGGATCTTTTCCAGATCGCGATGACCTGGGACCTTACGCTCCTAACATCCATCACCCACCAACCAATCGTCCGCCGACTGCCGCCGCAGATCCTCAGCGACTACTCCACCTGTATGCTGGCTGCCTTACTACGGATCTCAAAGCTGCCTAATTGCGCGGGAGCGTGGCGGGTCCTCATGTTCCTGCCACGTCTCACGCTAAGACTTAGCCGGAGATCCAGCTCTAGGTGGAAACTGCTGCGGGCACAGATGCATCTATTCCGATGTGGACACTGGACCCAGCTGTACACCGAATACTTGGGGTCAATGCACCTGGCCGAACCACCTCAGCACCAACGTGACCCGCTGGGAATCTGCTCACGTGCGGAGGGGTTGGTGAAAAGGGGTAACCTGCGAAAGGCGTTAGCGGCCCTTCAACCCTCGCCATCAGCACCGACGACATTCGCGACACTGCAGCAGCTGGAATCGAAACACCCCCAACCCCAAAATGACCTGCCCGACTGGGTCCACTCCTACACGACACCCACACAATTTTCAACCACCCTGGAAAGCTTTTCGGACGTCCTCGGGGAATGCCCCAGGGGAATTGGGGCTGGCCCATCGGGGTCAACCTTCGAACACTACCGCGATCCAGCGCTAAGTAACATCGAGGTACTAGGGCACCTCCACTCCGCCGTTAAACACCTTCTCTCGACAAACCTTTCAACCGAGGTTGCAGCCCTACTCGCCCCGTCCCGCCTTATAGCCTTCGCCAAACCAGGGGGGGGGGTACGCCCAATCGCGATTGGAGAAACATTGCTTAGGCTGGCGGCGAAAGTGGCACTCTCAGACCTGCAAGGAGAAACGCGAAATTTTTTCCTACCTCAGCAATTTGGCGTGGCAGTCCCGGGAGGTGCTGAGTTCGTCATCCATGCAGTCAGAGACCTCACCACCGTGCAGCCCTCCAGCCTAGTCCTCCAACTCGACATTGAGAACGCGTTCAACTCAGTCGAGAGGAGCGCGTTCTTCAACGCACTTATCGGCTCCCCGCTAGCCCCCCTCATCCCCTTCACACGCTCTTTCTACGCATGAGCATGAGCGCTGCTGCTGGACCCATGCTTCAATTCCACGGCACTCACCAGCGGAAGAGGAGTCGCACAGGGGGATCCCCTCGCACCCCTGCTACTCGCGGCGTCTATCCAGCAGCACCTCAGGCACGTGGCAGCGGAGCACCCGGAAGTCACCGTCCTCGCGTACGCAGACGACATAACCATGATTGGACCCGCGACGGCGACGCTAGACGCGCTAAGGGAGCTCACGCCGCTACTAGCACAGGATGGCCTCACCTGCAACTTTATGAAGTCGTCGGCGTGGTCCTCCATGCCGCTTGGAGGTGTCGTGCTCCCTGAAGGCCTCCCCCACACCCACGAGGGGGTACGGGTGTTGGGAAGTCCTGTGGGGTCGCAGAGCTTCTGCTCTGCCTTTGTCCCCAGTACCCTGACAGACGCGGCAGCCCCCTTGGGTTCCCTGGCGTCCATCCACCCACAACATGCCCTCCTGCTACTGTCCCGTTGCATCAGCCGCAGAATCGGCTACCTGCTACGCACTACCCCAGCAGACGTCTTACCCCTCTCGGAATGGCACACATGGTGCTCCGAACTACTGCACACGGCCTTGACCGCCGCCAGCATTCAACCGCCACGCCGAGAAGCCGAGTTCAACTTCCTGCTCCGACAAGCAACTCTTCCAGTCGCCCTGGGCGGTCTGGGACTTACAGACCCCACAACAGAAGCAGCACCGGCCTACCTGGCATCAACGACGGAGGCGCTACGACTGCTCCGCTCCCTTGACCTACCAGCAACCGCGGCACTGGGGGCCAACAACAACACCCTGCAGCCGTCCGCAGCGCACTCAGTAACCATCCAGGACATGGAGGGGCGCCTGCCACCGCTGGCGCTACAAAACCTCCGGGAGGAGCAGCAAACCCCGTCCCAAGACCAGCTGCAACGCGCCCTCTCTCAGGAGGTGCACGCGGCAAAGGCCGACGCCTTGACAGAGGAGTCACGCACCATCCAGTCAGCCCCCGAGATGGGTCACTCACTCCGCCTCATCAGCCTGAGAGGGGAGGGAGCGGGAGCATGGCTGCAGGCCCTACCTTTGACCCCGGACCTTTGCTTCTCACCGGGACAATTCCGAGCAGCCCTGGCCTTCCGCATGGGCATCCGACAGAATGTACCCACTGTGTGCGAGTGTGGAGAACTCGTAGCCGACTGCAGCCTACCCAACCACCTACTCCGCTGCAGCACAGGCCCCGACAGGACACGCACACACAACCAGCTAGCTTTTGCCGTGGCTAAAATGGCAAGGGAAGCACAGCTGGTGGTATACCTGGAGAACGCCATGTACTCACCGCCGGATGACCCGAAGAAAGCCGATGTGATTGTACGCGATCCGGACAGTGGAGAGACTTGGATCACAGACACCACTATCACAGACCCCGTGCTGCAGAACCGGGACCCCACAGCCCGCAAACCCCCAGGCTGGGCTGCTAGAGAGGCACAGAGGCGGAAGGAGAGGGAGTACTACCGACACACGGAACACGTGGTGTTCTGCGCCCTAGCCGTCGAGACCTACGGGGCAAACGCGCCCACCACGACTGCGTTCCTGAAGCTGCTGGCCACAGCAGCAGCTAGGAACCGGTTCAGGGCCAACCCCCTGGCGAAATCGGCCAAGAAGATGGCCTGCCACTTCAGCCAGCGCTGGTCAGTGGCCCTCCAGCGCTCCCAGGCTAATGCCCTGCACACCAAGGCCAGGGCTGGGATCGAGGCAGCGCACCCCCAGATGGCAGCGGACCCTTGGCCGCTGCACCTGGGGGACATCCTCCACACGCTGGAGGGCTAGAGGGTCACTCAGGGGGGGGGGTGAAGAGTGGTAAGTTTTGGGGCTTAAGGGATAGAGGTTATCATGGATAGCACCGCATGTTTGTACCCCTGCTGAATTAATACAAAGGACCGTTTGAGGGGGAGGGAAGGCGAGGGAGGGGTGCTTGTGCTTCTCTGCCCTTCGAGGTGGTCATTGATGCAGGCAGGAAGGCCCGGGAGGAGCCCGACGGCGGGGAGAAAGGTGAGGCGCGGCTGTGTTAGGTTGTGGCCCAACTGGAAGAAAGGTGATATGAGTGGGGAGAGAAAGGGGAGAACGGGGAAAAGCTGATATGTTGAAGTAATTCTTGAGGCGCCTCCATGTAAGGGGAAGGGGGTTCGGGAAGAGCTGACCGCATGGGGAAGGGCGTTGAAATACTTTTTGAAGTGGTGATTGTTGGAGTGCTGCATGAGTTGCATGGGGAGAAGAAGGGTGAGTCACCAGTACGGGGTGTGTTGTGGTGGGAGGTTGGGAGAATGAGGCAGATAGAAGGAAAAATGTGTAGGGCTGGCTGGGTACCCAGGCCTTGGAAAAGTTTTTGGCCAAGGAGGCTTGTGGAACCTTTTTCTCCTCATCCATCCCCCGCTTCTCTCCCTTCAATTCCCACTACCTCCTCCCACCCCTCCCACAGAGGACAAGCCGGCGACGGTGGGCACGGAGAGCAACATAGAGAGCATGTTTCAGGTGGAGAAGGCACTCAGAGACCTGGCGGCTCTCAAGGTGGTCTGGCTGCTGAGGCAACCCCAACCCCCTCTTCCTCTCCCATCACCTCGTCATCTCCCCTCCTTTGTTCCCCCAGAGGACAAACCAGCGGCGGTGGGCACGGAGAGCAACATAGAGAGCATGTTTCAGGTGGAGAAGGCCCTCAGAGACCTGGCGGCGCTCAAGGTGGTTGCTGGGGCAGCCAACAACTCTGTCCGCTCTCCCTTCCCCTTCCTCCCCCCGTCCTCTCCCCTCCTTCCCCCTCGCCCTCCTTCCCCCACCTCTTCCTCCCACAGAGGACAAGCCAGCGACGGTGGGCACGGAGAGCAACATAGAGAGCATGTTTCAGGTGGAGAAGGCACTCAGAGACCTGGCGGCGCTCAAGGTGGAGGAGGGGGTGCTGCTCGCCATGGCCCAGCACCGCCGCCCCGCACTGCTCAAAGTGCACTCGGCACCGTCAGGTAAGGAACCTGTTTATAACGAGTTACCAGCGCTCAAGGTGGAGGAGGGGGGTGCTTTTGGGTACAGATGAGGCGGTGGGATGAGAAGGCACTCAGAGACCTGGCGGCGCTCAAGGTGGAGGAGTAAGGGGACTGCCTATAGGGGGTTGCCTATAGGAGGGAGTGCTGCTGGCCATGGCGCAGCACCGCCGCCCGGCTCTGCTCAAAGTGCACTCCGCTCCTTCAGGTAAGGGGACTGCCTATAGGGGGTTTATCTGCTTGCAAGGTGGAGGAGGGCGTGTTGCTCGCCATGGCACAGCGCCGCCACCCTGCCCTTCTGAAAATGCACTCCACTCTTTAGGAGTCTCCACGCTCTTTTGGTAAGCAGACTGTCTGTCTCTAGCGTGGAGGAGGGTTTTCAGCTCTCAAGGTGGAGGAGGGAGTGCTGCTGCTGACTATGGCACAGCACTGCGGCCCCGTGCTGCTCAAAGTGCACTCCGTGACTATCCTTTTCCATGATAGACTGATGTTCGTGCTCAGGTAAGAGTGGTGTTCCTTCTTTTTCCATGGTTTGGAAATGTATGTCCCCATGCTGCCTGGCACCTCCATTCTTCTGGTCTGGTGTATCCCCCTCTCTTGCCCTGCTCTCTCCTACTCCCATCCCTAGCAGCTCTCTCCTACTCCCATCCCTAGCAGCTCTCTCCTAGTCCCATCCCTACCTAGCAGCTCTCTCCTAGTCCCATCCCTACCTAGCAGCTCTCTCCTAGTCCCATCCCTACCTAGCAGCTCTCTCCTAGTCCCATCCCTACCTAGCAGCTCTCTCCTAGTCCCATCCCTACCTAGCAGCTCTCTCCTAGTCCCATCCCTACCTAGCAGCTCTCTCCTAGTCCCATCCCTACCTAGCAGCTCTCTCCTAGTCCCATCCCTACCTAGCAGCTCTCTCCTAGTCCCATCCCTACCTAGCAGCTCTCTCCTAGTCCCATCCCTACCTAGCAGCTCTCTCCTAGTCCCATCCCTACCTAGCAGCTCTCTCCTAGTCCCATCCCTACCTAGCAGCTCTCTCCTAGTCCCATCCCTACCTAGCAGCTCTCTCCTAGTCCCATCCCTACCTAGCAGCTCTCTCTCCTGAGCCTCACCACCTCTCCTTTATCTTTTCATTCACGTCTAACCTAACCACCAACTTTCTCCTCTCCCTCTTGTCCCCTCTGTCTGTGGGTGCAGCTGCCGAAGAGGGTCCACGGATGGTCGAGTCTATGGGTGGGATACTGAGAAGTCTTGCAGCTCATGTCCACATCTCCTCTTTCTCCTCTCCCTCTCTCTCCCTCTGTCTGTGGGTGCAGCTGCTGAAGAGGGTCCAAGGATGGTCGAGTCTATGGGTGAGTTCCTCTGCCCTACCTCCCTCCCTCCCAACCTCCCTCCCTCCCTACCTCCCTCCCTCCCTACCTCCCTCCCCTTCTCCCGTGCTCCATCCTTCCTTCGTCCCTTATATTCCTTTCTCACTTTCTGCCTTGCCTCCCTCCTTCCATCCTTCGACCTTCAGCCATGAAGTTAGGCAAGCAGCAGTCTAAAAAGAAACTTTTAGCAAAGGAATAACAGTCGATCTGTTGTAGTTTCCTGATATTCCTTTCTCACTTTCTGCCTTGCCTCCCTCCTTCCATCCTTCGACCCCTTGCCTTGCCTCCCTCACTTTCTGCCTTGCCTCCCTCCTTCCATGCTATGCTCTGCGGCCCCTCACTTGTACCTGTCTTCCCCCCTCGTCCATCTGTCCTTTCTCTTCGTTTCTGTTCATTGATCCATCCATCACTCCTCCCTCGTCCGTTGAACCCTGTTCCAATCCATATTGTTTCCCATTCCTCGCTCCCTCATGCTTTCAGACCTGAGCGACGAGGAGGTGGAGGACGTGAGGTTCAAGCAGAACTGGCTGGTGTGCTGGTGGTGGCGGGCACGCGACCACAAGGTGTCTCTTTCACCCTCTTACTACTTTCTTCCCTCCCCTTGCCTTCTACCCGTGCAGACCTGAGCGACGAGGAGGTGGAGGACGTGAGGTTCAAGCAGAACTGGCTGGTGTACTGGTGGCGGCGGGCGCGGGACCACAAGGTGGAGCCTAACCTTGTCCCTCTCTTCTCCTCCCAACCTAACCCCATGCAGATCTGAGTGATGAGGAGGTGGAGGACGTGAGGTTCAAGCAGAACTGGCTGGTGTACTGGTGGCGGCGGGCACGCGACCACAAGGTGGAGCCTAACCTTGTCCCTCTCTTCTCCTCCCAACCTAACCCCATGCAGATCTGAGTGATGAGGAGGTGGAGGACGTGAGGTTCAAGCAGAACTGGCTGGTGTACTGGTGGCGGCGGGCACGCGACCACAAGGTGGAGCCTAACCTTGTCCCTCTCTTCTCCTCCCAACCTAACCCCATGCAGATCTGAGTGATGAGGAGGTGGAGGACGTGAGGTTCAAGCAGAACTGGCTGGTGTACTGGTGGCGGCGGGCACGCGACCACAAGGTGGAGCCGGACATTGCGGCAGAGCGGCTGGCGTACTGGATCTCCAGGAGCACTGTGAAACCGACTGCGCACGATGCTGTCGATGGTGAGTCAAGAGAGTCAAGAGAGTCAATGGAGACAATGGAGTCAATGGAGTCAAGAGAGTCAATGGAGTCAATGGAGTCAAGAGAGTCAATGGAGTCAATGGAGTCAAGAGAGTCAAGAGAGTCAAGGTAGAGATGAGCAGCTAGCGTACTGGATTTCCAGGAGCACTGTGAAGCCCTCTGCGCACGATGCTGTGGATGGTGAGATAATGGGCTGTAAGGGTGTGCTGGCAGGGTAACCGGGTCAGGGAAGGTAGTCAGGTATTTTAGGAAACTGGTGGAGGGAGCACAAGGCGGAGCCGGACATTGCAGCAGAGAGGCTGGTGTGCTGGATCTCCAGGAGCACCGTGAAGCTCCCTCCTCTGTGTGTGTGTGTGTGTGTGTGTGTGTGTGTGTGTACATGTGCATGTGTGTGTGTCTGTGCATGTGTGTGTGTGTGTGTGTGCATGTGTGTGTGTACATGTGCATGTGTGTGTGTGTGTGCATGTGTGTGTGTGCATGTGTGTGTGTATGTGTGTGTGTGTGTGTGTGTGTGTGTGTGTGTGCATGTTTGTGCTCATTTATGTTGAATCATACACACACATGTGTGTAGTGTAATACATGCATAGTGCTCACACGCAAGATGAGTATAGAACACGCATGCATTATCTGACACACACTAACTAAACGCCTCTCCTCCGCACCCCCCTTTGCCCCCCCTTCCCTCCCCTTCCCTGTTCATCTCTCTTATCTGACTGATGCTGGTGTCATGCTGATGTTACTGTGATGTCATGATGATGTCACCAGCGGAGCGCGGGCTTATGGAGGTCCGCAAGCTGAACCTGGAGCAGCAGATGTGGGATGCTTCCAGGAAGGATCTTGTTGCCGAGGCTGCAGCAGCGGCTGCTGTTGCTGCTGTGGCTGCAGGGCCGCCTCCCTCCAGCAAATAAGATGCCTGCAGGCACCGCTTTCAACCGCACTGGATCAGGAACTAGCTTTCGGCACCATTGTCACCAGTTGCCATGCTGAGACTGTTTTATGCACTCGTTTGTGCTGAGCAATGTTTTTTGCTCCATGCATTTCGCTCATCTGGGTCGGAGCTGCTTGTGTCCCACATGCTTTTGGGTTCCTTAATTCATACAGAGCAGCTTGTTTGACTGACTGGAAGTCCAGGGTGTCAAATACATGTGGCAAAAGGTCAGTTTTAGGATTGTGTAAAGCTAGTGTAAAGTACCCAGTGATAATTGATGAAAAGTGTTGCCTATTCAGTTTCCTTATATGTTTCCTTATGTTAATTCTCTTGATATATACCAGGTAGATTTATCACTTCAGTCGCTCGTCTTGGGAACGGCCTCTTGACGTGGATGGAACTGGGATTGCATGTGTGGTTGAAAGTATTGCCATGTTATCGGGTTTTCTGAAAAACTTTGGGTTCTCCGCGGTTTACGGGAAGCGCTTTTTGAAAAGCAAAACCTTGCATGTAGGCTTGCGGCGGAGCGGAGGAACTCGTTTTGCAGGTACTTTGGAATTGGTGAGTAAGCTGACCGCGGACCGTTTGACTCCGCAATTGCGGGTCGATTCCCCCTAAAACGGCTATTTCTATCTGCCCGTCTTTCCCAACCACTTTCGGGCATGACATTGATGAAGGATGATGGACCATGGTGAAAGGCGACGACCATCAGTGATGCAAGTGATGGTGTGCTGCCAAAGAACAGTGGATGCGTAACGATAAGATGAACTGCGATCAGATGAACTGTGCAACATCCATCCACCGTCCCACCAACAATCACTTTCCCCCAGAGACCTACCTGCAAACAGGATGCATGTGATGTAACTAGCGACCTTTCCTTTTCCAGGCCTGTCCCCTACATAGGGCGGTCGGCGGCAACCGCTTTCCTCCTATTTCCCGCCATTTTCCACTCATACTCCCACCGCGTTCGGCGCAAAGTGCCCTGCATTTCGTCCCCCAGCCCCACAAGTTTGTCCCGTCACACATGTGTCAAGGTCATGTCATGTGACTCGTGTCATGTGACTGGTGTCATGTAACGCGTCACAACTCTCAAACGAATCAGGCGTCACTTTCACTCCCTGCCTGTTCCAATTTCACGCATGTCACAAGTCTCGTTGGCCGGGCTTGCCCGAAAGTGAATTTCTTCCACAGAGCGAACTTTCCCCCTGGCGCTGCGGATTTCCCTCACCCAACCCAACCCAAACTCGCCCCGCTGTTGTCCCACCAACGAATCTGCTCGCCCAATTCCCCAACCTTGCACTGAAAACTTCGCGCCATTCCCCCACCCGTTGCGCCATTTTCTCCACTTGTCGCGCCATTTCCCCCACCCGTTGCGCCATCCCCCAACTCGTCGAGCCCCCTCGTGGTATGTACGTTTCACAAGTCACCGCCGTTTCTCTCACGCGCGGAATTGCTCCGCTCCGCCCCGCTCCGTCCCGCTGCACTCCTCCTCACCCAGCTCCACACCGCCCCCAAAACAAGCACCACCGCGGCACCTCGCTCGCTTGCTCGCTCGCGCCCTCCCCTCCCCTCTGCTTCTCTTCGTGCTTTCCCTGCTCGCGTGGAGCTTGAAATGCATTTCGCGGCCAAAAGCACACACGTCTCCTTCACCCCCCTCACGGATTTTTGCGTCTGGACCGCTCCTCCACCCATTCCTTCCCCTTCGCATTCCACTAGGCCAGACGCGATTGGGCTGGTTGCTGTGCGAACAGGCAAGCTCTGGCAAGCATTTCTGGCAGTCTGACAGCTGGCTGTGGGAGGGGTACGATACTGTAGCTCGTGTTGCGCCTTTCTTCTGACAGATAAGGCGTTTACTTTTTTCATTTCCATGACTAGTGAGTGCGATGGGGGAATGGTAGACGTAGACCTGGGCTTCAAGCACGCCCCAGATATTGCCGTAATGTCGCGAAGCGCTAGTGACGTGGACGGACGGCGCGGAAGGACCGGATGGCATGGGGGGACGGCGGCCGGCAAGAATGGCGGCACGGCTCGAGACACGCTGCTGGAAGAGTCATTCTTAATTCCGAATTCCGGCCACGTCCGCGCCGCGCTCATGGTCGACGGGATTGTGTGGCACAGAGTGGACGAATCCGCGAGTCAGGTAGCTACTAAAAATAGCAAGACTCAAGACGAGCTTATAATGAATTTACAGGTGGCCAGCAGGTGCTGTATCAGTCTGTAGGTACTGAATAAGTGGGTCAATCCAGGAATGACAGGCCAGCCTTATCGCCCTGCGTCCGTTTCCACTCGCGGTATCCGTTAGCCTTCGTACGTAAATGAGAAATGGTTCGAGGACTCCGTCGCTAACGGCGCAGACACATTTCGTCACATTGCCGTCAATTCTCGCTGCCATCTCTTCGTTCGTCATTTCCTCCTCCGTCAATTTTCTCCGTCGGTTCTCGTCCGTCTTTTCTCCTCCGTCGAATCCTGCCTCGGTTACATAGACCACCTTCATCCCACTTCCTTATTCCTACCCCTCGGAGGTGTTTTTTTAGTCGACTCAATTGACTCCCGCTCTATCCTTGCTCCTTATTCCTATCCCCCTCCTTACCCCTTTTTCAGACCTCTCTCATTGTTTCTTTTCCCATTCCATATCTCTTTCCGTGATCTCCGCTCAGGGGTGCCCTGCAACCAATCCGTGCCACGACTGCGGCCTGGGACAACCAAATGCAAGCTCAGCACCCATCAACGAAATCTACGCCGTTGAAATGCTCCCAGAGGCATCCGTTAAGAGCAGCTTCTTTGCGAGTCCCGTTAAGGTACACTCTGGTGATACAACACTGCAATAAGGATTTTGGTGATTTTTTCTTGACGGACTCGGGACCAAATAGCCTCTGACGAGAAGGGCTCCCCGCGGAAGGAGATAGGCGGAAGGAGCCCCCGTGTTCGACGGCAACGCTGACAAGCGAATGAGAGATATGCGCGAGGGGAGCGCGCGAAAAGTGCGCGGCTGGCGCCAACTTGTCCTCATCCGCTGCTATCTTCGCCCCCGTTCACTCTGGACCTCGTCCTCCCCCCTCTCCCCCGCTTCCTCCTCCCCCCTCCCCTCACCCCTTCCCGCATATCTTACCCTTGCTTTCCCCTTCCCTGCCCTCCACCCCTTCCCTCCGCCTCTCATCCGCTCCCCTCCCCCCGCACTCTCCCCGGCTTCCCCCCGTCGAGGGCAGATGCATCAATTCGCGGTGCACACGTTCCGCCGCTCCGCTCCCTTTCGAGTATTCCCCGTGCTCTTGTATTCACCCAAATCTCCCACCCCCTCCCCCACCCCCCACCCTCCGCCCCCCAACTCCCCGCGCGCGCGCAGATGCATCAATTCGCGGTGTACACGTTCCGCCGCTCCGCCGACCGTTGGATGCCGCTCAAGCTCGTCTTCTGCCACGCCAACGCTGACGTGTGCCAGCAGTGGTCGGACCGCATCCTCTCGCTGCTGCGCGCCGACCCGGAGCGCCCTAGGAGCCTCTTAGTGTTCGTGAACCCTATTGGCGGGCGGAAGAAGGGATTAAAGACATGGGAGGCGGTTCGACCCGTGTTCGATCGCGCAGGAGTCGCCGTGCAGGTGAGCCTGTGGTTACCACAGAAAGTTTTATGGCGAACAGTAGCAGCAGCAAGCACCAATCGCGCGTCCTTCTCCGCGTAGAGAAATTTTGGGCGTTTTGGTTGTCGTAAGATTGCACGTACGAACAATAATAACGAATTTTCTCATTCGCAATTGTTTCGTTGGTTGCAGGTGGTGGTAACCAGCCGTCGCAACCACGCGCGCGACATGCTGCAGAACGCGTCGGACAAGGAGCTCTGCCAGCTCGACGGCATCATCGTCGTGGTGAGTCGCACACACAGTCGCACGCAGCGTCGCACACACAGTCGCACACACAGTCGCACGCTGTTCAACGAGGCCAAGTACTGATGCTGTTTTGCAACCCTTTAAACCCTTCCATTCCAACCCGCTGCCCCACTGCGGCGACGGGCTGTTCAACGAGGCGCCAAACGGGCTGGCGAGGCGCTGAAGTGCTGTACCGCTCGCAACCCATCCCAACCAATCCCAACTCCCATTCCCCCCCTTCCCCCTCCCCCCCACCGTCAGGGCGGCGACGGGCTGTTCAACGAGGCGCTCAACGGGCTGGCGAGGCGGCGCCATCGCGCCTTTCCGTGCGTGCGCCCCGCGCGCCTGCGCCTCCCGCCGCCCTCCACCGCCCCATGCGGTGCCGGCAGAAGCGGGAGCGAGAGGGGAAGGATTGGGAGCGCAGGGAAGGAGGAGTGTGGATCGAATAGAGCTAGACTGGCTAAGGATAATGGGGTAGGCGCAGGGGATTTAAGATTAAGAGGTGGATTGGGAATAGGAGGCGGTTTGGGAGCCGATTCGGGAGCAGGAGGCGATTTGGAGCAGCTGCCAGCGTGGCAGGGTGCCACGACAGCAGAGAAAGAAGAAGAGGAGGAGAGGGAGGAGGAGGAGGAGGAGGAGGAGGAGGAGGAGGAGGAGGAGGAGGAGGAGGAGGAGGAGGAGGAGGAGGAGGAGGAAGAGGGGGGAGAGGAGAAGGAATCCCAGGAGCGTGTAGTTGTTTCAGATGGCGACACTGCTTATGCTGATGATGTTGGCGCTGCTGGTGGTGCAGGTGTTGGCCCCGCAGGTTCGGACCGAGCCTGCGCTCCAGGTTTGGTGAGGAAGCTGACGCTCGGCAGGTTTTGCAGGCAGGAGAGCGAGTTGGAGGCGGCAGGTGCAGTGAACCTGGACATGGGCAGCGCAGGGCAGCCATGTGAAGTGAAAAAGAGAGGAGACGGGAAGGAGAGCGGAGAGGAGAGAGGAGGGGAGGACGAGGAGGAGGGGGAGGAGGGAGGAAGGGAGGGGAGGAAGCGAGTGGGGAGCAAGGGGTGGTTGGCTGCTGCGGGGTTGAATTTGAACAACTGGCGACGCAATAATGACAAGGGCACACACACATTCGGGCAAACCGGCGGGGGGCATGCTGACGTGGACGGCGATGATTCGCCGAGAGGAGGCGGCAGGGGTTTGGACATCCCTGCAGGGTTAAATACTCCTGGTTTAGAGACTCCTGGTGTCTTTAATTTCCATGACGGCCTTAATACCCCTGCTGGATTAAATACTCCTGCCGGGTATGGGTATGACACTCCTAAAGGCTACTATGCGACTCCTAAAGCTGGATCGTACTATGAGACTCCTAAGCCTGGTAGTGGCGGCTCGGGTGGGTATTATTTCCCGACTCCCAAGGAGGGGGGCGGTGGGGCGAAGGGGTTTTACGAGACGCCCAAGGCGCAGCAGGCTCGGCGCAGCTTCGGTCGAAGCAGTTTTGGTCCGGGGGTCAGGAATGCAACGTTTTTGAGTGACTGGGGGACGGTGCGCGAGGTGGAAGAGGGGGAGGAGGAGGAAGGTGGGGAAGGGGAGGAAAGGGCAGGAGTGGGGGAGTGGGGAAGGGGAGTGGATGAGTGGAGGGAGGGAGGATTTGGGGAGGATGGCGGAGTGGGGTTGTGTCTGCCTAGGCGGCTGAGGATTGGGATCATCCCTGCTGGCTCTACAGATTGCATTGCCATGAGGTGAGGGGGGGGGGGGTGGGGGGGGGAGTGTTGCGATCACGAGAGTTGGATTTTGGCAGTCTGTGCCGCCATGAGGTGAGGGAGAGGGTTGGAGTGGAGTTGTGTCTGCCTAGGAGGCTGAGAATTGGGATCATCCATTCTTGCCGGATCAAGAGATTGCATTGCCATGAGGTGAGGCACGGGAGGGAGGAGTGGGGGAAGGTGGTGGAGTGGAGTTGTGTCTGCCTAGGAGGCTGAGAATTGGGATCATTTTCGCTGGATCGACAGACTGCATTGTCATGAGGTGAGGGGGAGAGGTTGAAGGGAGGGACCAAGGAGGTGAGTGGGAAATTGGGGTTGAATTTACAGACTCATGATGTGGGGGAGGGGGATTGATGGATATGACGAGGTGGGGGGGTTGGCGGAGGGGGGGCCTATGGGGCATATGGGGGATACGGGGACCTCTTTTGCCTACCATCTCCTCTTCCAAGATACCCTTCCAGTTGTCATCGCTTACCCCTTGTCACCGCACTGCGCCCTCTTGTCTTCCCTCTCTTCCCCTTTGTCACCGCACTCAACCCCTTTCTTCCCTCTCAATCTTTGTCACCGCACTGCACCCTTTCTTCCCCTCCTGCAGCCTCGTTGGTTCCCGTGACCCCGCCACGTCAGCACTGAATGTTGTGATTGGCCGACGCACTCCTATGGATGTTGTGCGGGTAACTTCCTGGAAACCCGCCACCTCCTCTTCCTCCTCTTCATCCTCCCCGTCCTCCCCCTCCTCCTCCTCCTACGCCCCTTCCTCCATCCCTCCGGCGGCCTTCTCATCCCAACCACCACTCATCCCTTCCGAGCCTACATTCTCGCCGAACCTCCCACCCGAACCTACACTCTTAACCTCGGGCCAAGCCGCCGTCCTAGCTTCGGCATCTCCCCTTTCCTCCTCCCCCGCTTTCTCCTCCTCTTCCGCCCCCGCTTCCCCCTCCTCCCTCTCGTCTTCCTCCTCTGCCTTGTCCGAATCGTCGATGACTCGGCTCCAGGTTGGCGCTGACTCAGCAGCTGAGATTGCTGAGTCAGCACAACCAGCAAAAGCAGAGGAAAGAAGAGGAGAAGGAGAAGCAGGAGAGGAGAGAAGAGAGATTCATGCAGCAACGGAAGGAGCAGCGGAAGGTTCCAGGAAGGAGGGCGAGGAGCAGCAGATGGAGTGTGATGTCCGATATGCCGCGTCATTCTTCGGGTAAATTACCCTGTCCCTTGATGTGTACACCCGTAACACATAAACACACAAACAAATAACAACATTACCCGTCCCTCCTTTCTTCATAATTTCCCTCCTTCCCTACCCCTGCCCCTGCCCCCCTTCCTTCCCCACGCCGTTGACCATATATTGAGACATCTCCCAAAACCAGACCTTCGTGCTTTGAGTCGACTCAAAACACGACCCCTGCCTCTCTTCCCCTTCCTTCCCCACACAGTTGACTATATTTTGAGACATCTCCCAAAACCAGACTTTCCCCACCGCCTTCCCCGCTTCTCCCAACCTCCTCCCATCCCCAGATACGGCTTCTATGGGGCAGTAACGAAGGAGAGCGAGGCGCTGAGGTGGATGGGACCTGCCAGATACGACTATGCGGGATTCATGACTTACATGCGCCACAGGTGGGTGGGTGTGAGGTGGGTGGGTGGGTGGGTGGGTGGGGGGGTTGAGTACGAATGCATGCAGCAAGGATGGATGGGCCCGGCAAGATACGACTACACGGGATGCATGCGCCACAGGTGGGTGGGTGGGTGTGACATGAAGTGCGAGTGGGGGGATCAATGTGAAGGGGGCAATCAGCAACGGTGGATGGGGCCTGCAAGATACGACTATGCGGGGTGCATGACTTACATGCGCCACAGGTGGGTGGGTGGGACAGGTGGGTGGGTGTGGGAGATCAAATGCATGGGGGGATGGGATGGGCCCGGCAAGATACGACTACGCGGGGTGCATGACTTACATGCGCCACAGGTGGGTGGGTGGGACAGGTGGGTGGGTGTGGGAGATCAAATGCATGGGGGGTTGGGATGGGCCCGGCAAGATACGACTATGCGGGGTGCATGACTTACATGCGTCGCAGAGGTTTCATTCTTCCACGTGCCTGGGCCAGATCAACCCTCCATGCACAGAAAAGGGTAAATTCACTCACTGCCTATTCACACCTTCATGCCCCTGCCCCGCTTCCCCTCCCCCTCCCCCCAAACCAGGTCATACGAGGCAGAGGTTTCATTCTTCCACGTGCCTGAGCCAGATCAACTCTCCATGCACACAAGAGGGTAACTCAACTCTCTTCCTGCTCATCCTTTTATTCTCCTGCCCGTGTTGCCCGGCCTCTTTTCCCACCCCCCCAACCAGGTCATACGAGGCAGAGGTGTCATTCTTCCACGTGCCTGAGCCAGATCAACCCTCCATGCAAAGGCGAAGGTAACTCAATTCACCCACGTCCTGCCCATCCCTTCATTCTCCTGCCTCTCCCCTGGTGCCCCACACATACCTGATGCTGCTGCCTCTTCCTCTCCTCCGTTTTGAGGCGCCTCAAAGGTGCCTCCTGCCTGTCATACCCCAACCATACCCCATGCCCCATACGCCATACCCCATGCCCCAACCATTCCCTGTGCCCCATACCCCCCATTCCCCATGGCCCATACCCCATACCCCAATACCCCATGCGTGCCCCAATCCCTATCATTCCGTTTTCTTCCTGCCCCGTCCCATCAGCACCACGGCCCGTCCGGAGATCTGCACCGTTGGATGCTCGGTGTGCGCCAACGGCCAGGATCTCTCGCTGCTGGCGCGATCAGCCCTGGGATTCGAGGCCTTAGGCCCATCACAGTCAGCTGTGGGTCTGGCCTCCCTTCTCACCCCTCTCAACCGCACTGCTGCTGACACTGCTGCTGATACTGCTGCTGATACTGAAACTGCTGGTTCTGCTGCTGATGCCGCTGCTGTTTCGCCTTCCTATCACCCTCCTCCCGCCGCTCCTGATGCTGCTGCTGCTACAGCCACAGAAGCCGATAAGCACAGGCTCTCCTCACCTCCTCCCCTAGAAGCTGCTGATGCTGACGTGGCAGCGCCGGATTCGCCGCAGCCGCTGACCTGGGATGAGGCGACGCCAGGCTGGCGCACCGTGAGAGGCCGGTTTCACAGCGTGGGCGGCGCGGTGATCTCTTGCCGCAATGACAAGGCGCCAGATGGCGTCGCGGCACACGCCCACCTGGCGGATGGGAATCTCAACCTCATCATGATTCGCGAGTGCTCACGCGCAGAATACCTCCAGTGAGTAACGGAATTTTGAGTACCTCCAGCGTGACGCTGGTTCTGTCTTGTCAATGAGTGGTAGGTGTTGGTGTTTGAACATCATCATGATCCGCGAGTGCTCGCGCGCAGAATGCCTCCAGTGAGTGTTTTTCTTCCTTCCAATACTTTTCGCTCATTTTTTTAGTGTATTTGTGATAGTATAGATGTCTTGCACTGTGTCTGGCTGTCAAGGGTGCATTTCAAACTGTGTATCCATCTGTTATAAGGTCTCAATACAGACCATGTATTAATCTGTCCGTCCATCTATCCACCCACTCGCAGGCAGCTGCTGTGTCTGGCCATCAAGGGAGCTGATCCCCTCGACTTCCACTTCGTCCAGCACCACAAGGTGGGTCTGATTCTCACTCACAGCACCGCTTCACACCGCCTCACACCCACTCACACCAGATCGCGTCTCCTCACACCGTTACGCACCGACTTACACCGCTTCTCAGCTGCTGCTGTGTCTGACCATCAAGGGCGCAGATCCCCTCGACTTCCACGTTGTCCAGCATCACAAGGTGTGTTTTGTTTTCACTCGCTTGCTCCACCACTTTGCACCGTTTCGCACCGTCCCACACCATTTTGCATCGTACCTATCCTCACAGACGGATGTTTTGCAGTGCACAAAGCTGCACGCCATCTCAAATCATCTCATACCATCTCTATTGTTTCCCTTCCACTCTCTCTCCTCCATCATCCCCACTTTCCCCTCCCCTACTCCCTCTCTCCCCACTCCTACACACCCCAGCGTGTTCACATTCAAGGCCATGGGGGAACAGGGCTTTTCAAATGTGGATGGTCAACTGGTGGAGGCGAGTGAGCTGTCAGTCCAGGTGTTCTCTCCCTTCCCCCAACTCCTTACCCCTCTCCCACCTTATCTCTTCCCCTCCCCCACCTACAGACCCCAGCGTTCACATTCAAGGCCATGGGCGAGCAGGGCTTCTGGAATGTGGATGGTGAACTGGTGGAGGCGAGTGAGCTGTCAGCACAGGTGTTTCCTCTCACCCCCTTTCCCTCCATCATCCCCACTTCCCACCCCCAGACCCCAGCGTTCACATTCAAGGCCATGGGAGAACAAGGATTTTGGAATGTGGATGGTGAACTGGTGGAGGCGAGTGAGCTGTCAGCCCAGGTGTTCCGAGGGATGGTGGACATGTTTGGCAGCGGACCGGACGTGTGAGGTGTGAGGGAGGGAGTGTGAGGGAGTGAGGGAGTGGGGGAGATGATGAGTGGATACAGGAGGGGTGGTAGATATGTTCGGCAGTGGGCCGGATGTGTGAAGTGTGAAGCAGTTAGGGAGTGAGGGAGTGGGGGAGATGACTAGTGGATGGTGTACATGTTGGAGGGGTGTAGTGTGAGCTTATTAGTTCTGTAAAGAATTTTAACATGCACCTAATGGTGTGTGTGTATGGTAGAGGTTAGTAGGTAGTGGCATGGGTGTCGAGGGTTGTTGGTTCTAATGTAAATCTCAATTGCAGTATAAATGCACGTGACGAATTGTAGGCCGTATGTAAGAAGTGTTATGCTGCAGTTTTTCTATGGCTGTGCTCTATTGGATGGGAGATCAGACCAAGCAAGCCTGGAACTAGGGGGATGTATATGCATTAATTGAAGTAGTTTTACTGTACTGTGCACCACCCTTCAAAACCCTCTTTCGATGATTTGGTGCGCTGCGCATTCCTTCTGGTTCGTACTACACCTGATTGGCTTCTGAACTTGCGCTGGCTCATCCATTGATGGTGACGCGTCCGATCGCGGCCAATCAGTGCATGATACAACTTCACATAGTTTTTCGCCTGCGGTATCAGCGATTTCATCAGTGTCGTCGTCTGCCAATCGTAAGAGCCAGCGAAACAAGGCCTGCCCCAACCATGAGTCCGCACTGTTCTCCATCACTCGTTCCTCCTCCCAAATCTCCAAGCTTGAGGGTGTCCGAGGAACTTTTTGATAATGCCGCCAAATACACGAGGGCGGAGCAGACAGCGAGCTGATTGGTTGAACCTCCGCTGGATTTGATGGGCGGACAATTTCCATCACGCAACCTTGAGATTGGTTTTTGCAGGGCGTCGCGCGGTTGCTGGCGGGACGGTGTGCTAGGAGCTATACCGCCTATTCAATCTAAATGCATGCAGAACGGTTTTGTCTGGTGCTATACGGTCCAAAGCAGTAACTTGTCAAAACCGCGTTTTACCGTGCACTAACGCGCGGAACCGCAACGTACCATCAACGGACTAACACGCGGAACATATGATAAGAGCGGGGCCACAGAGTGTGCATTAGTTCATGTATCCCCTTGTTCACGCTCCTGACTAGCGCGGGTCAAAGCATATAAACCGCTCTAAATTGCACATCAAAGTACTCAACCGTAGTACTAAGCGGAAAAATACTGCTAAGGTGGGAAAGGGAGAAAGTGTCTGTCTTGCTCAATCCACAACACTAAATTTCATCTTTACCACTGCAGTTCACCTTCCGTTAGTATCTTGCACACTCCATTTGTGTCTGACTACCAATCAGAGGCATCGAGGGTCCAACGCTCTCTCTGGAACGCCAATCACAGGGGCCTCATGTCCTCGCAGCGGGTTGGCCTGTCGTCACCCCATTGGTTACATTCTTGGCTGGGGCTTTACCACGTGCATTTTATACCTTAATCTCGCGGCTTTCGTGGCGTGTATTTAAGGTACTAGCTTTCTATATGGAAGGTCCGCCAGCCTGACGACGTGGAATAGAATAAAGAGCACTCTCCGTTCTTCTTCACGCAAAACTTGTCACTTTTCCGCGTTACTAGCATCCTCAGGTTCCGCCATTCCACAACCACGAGCTCTTATTCGTCCTTGGCCTGTAACCCTTCTCTGCTTCATCCACATTCCATGTCTCAAGACTTGATTCACTTCGCAACCCCTTACTAGCTGAACGCTTTTCCGCTACCTCCTACCTGTCCATGAGTTTTCAAGTTCGCTAAGAGAGTTCAGCAATAACACCCTTCTGACCACCGCAGGTTCCTGATTTTCATTATCATTGCCTGATAATACAATGACCGTTCCGTCTTTCTTATCCCCAGGCTGACACCCGACTCAACCGCTTCCAACCCTGTCCGTGCACGCTCAAGACCATGTCCAAATTTCCCGGCTTTTGAGTCGACTAGAGATTGGCTGCTCGTTAGTATCCTATTCATGCACACTCTAGACCATGTCCAAAGTCTTCGGCCCTAAACGGGTCACCGTACCAGCCGCCGCGAAACCCGGAGCGTCTATGTCCCGGATATCATCATCGTACGGCGTAGAATGGTCCGGCGTTGATCGCGACTGGATTCACAGAGACGGAAAGCATGAGAGGGAGAACTGGAAGGAAATATTGGAAGCGGATAAGGGCGTGCAGGATGAGGGGGAGGCGGAAGAGGCGGAAGAGGAGGAGGAGGATCCCGTTTGTCCGCTCTGCATCGAGCATCTCGACGAAACCGAAGTCCGATTTCGACCCTGCCCTTGCGGGTAAATCCCCGTCAGCGCTTTCGCTTTCATTGCAAAGATTTTTATATGTATTACAGAGCGAATGAGGAGCGCGAAGTGAGCTGCGTGAGGCAGTTCTTGGCGGGGATTTTGAGTCTGGCTGCTGACATTGCACGGCCACAGAGCCTTCTGGCCCGTGCAGCCGTGTCTTTGTCTCAATGACTCACACGGTTACACTCCGGCTCACTGGTAAGTGCGGGTTAGGTCACATCACAATCCAAACCTGCTTATATTTCTTCTTCTTCGTTGCGAGTCTATGGGGTGAACCGAAGACTGATGATAGGTACACCCCTCGTCTGGTCAACTCTGGGGCATTTCACAGTCGCAGTAGTTGCCTTGTTTCCCTTTCTTTCATTTATCAAAAGTCCATTCCTTCACTTTCTTCCATCATTTTTCTTGTTCTACGGGCAAAAAAACATCCTCGCTAACTCTAACTTCCCATGCTCCCGTTTCTCTTCCCCACTGCCTCACCCTCTTCTCCTGGCCGTCAGGTACCGCGTGTGTCTCTTCTGCTACGAGCGTATCAAGCTCGAACTCAACAGCCTCTGCCCCAGCTGCCGCACCCCCTACGGCGTCCCCCAACCTCCCTCCCCGTCCGCTGCTGATAAGCCAGCCGCAACAGCCAGAGCCGCAACTGGAAAGAAAGTGAAGGGTGCAGCCAATGGGCGAGTGACAGGTGGCAGCGGCGGGCTGGAGAGCAGCGGGAAAGCGGGAGAGAGGGGTCGAGGAGGAGGAGGAGGAGGAGGAGGAGGAGGAGGAGGAGGAGGAGGAGGAGGAGGAGGAGGAGGAGGAGGAGGAGGAGGAGGAGGAGGAGGAGGAGGGGGGAGTGTAGTTGTGGGGTATGGGGGCGGAGGCAGCTGGGGAGGAGGAGGGGTGGTGGTAGTGCGAACGTCCGTTGGTCCCGGCAAGCTTACCGGAAGTGGTGGGACTGGCCGGGCTGATATCCTCGCTGGCTCTACTAACGGCATTGCTACTGCTGCTGCTGTTGGTGGTGCTGGGGTGGGGACTGGGGGAGGGGTTGCTGTTGGGGCTGCTGGTGCTGGTTTCGCTGGTATTGGCAGTGGTTTTGGTGGGATGATGGGAGGAATGAGGGGGTTCAACCCGCCAATTTCAGCCATGGCGTCTTCGCCTCTCATGCAGCTCTCTCCCTCCTCTCCACTCACTGGTATGTATGCATCCCACTCGCGTTGACTTGAGTCGACTCAAAAGTTAACTCCTGTTCACCTCTCATGTAGCTCTCGCCCTCCACTCCACTCACCGGTATGCATCTCAACCGCTCTGCATCCCACCCGCTCTCTCTCTTTCCGCATAACCCTCCTCTGCGCCCTCTCCACAGTATCCCCTCCCCCCTTCTTCTGCACATCCTTCTCGGCGTTCGTTTCTGATGTTCATATCCTGGCATCCTGTGAAGTCGCTTCAGCTGCTTTTCCACGCGTCTCAACACCTACAGTCTTTACGGTGGCTGTTTTCTCTGAGCTTGCAGTTTAACTCGAGTCAAGTTTCACATCACATCATACAACTTGCTGTTGTGCAAATACCGTCCAACCCACCCTTCCTCTCCTCCTTCCCCTTTCCCTCCCCCCTCTCTCGCTCTCTCCATGTATCCCCCCCCGCCCATCCCTTCTCTCTGTGTGCGTGTGCACTGCAGCATCGCATAAGACCGTGTGGGAAAGACCATCGTATCTCAACCACTCACCCCTCTCCTGGGTGTCCACGTCATCCTTATTAGGATCCACGTCATCCCTGCTGGGATCCACGTTATCCCTGTTGGGCCCTCACGCACCTCTCAACTCCCCACTGCACCATCCGCTCCCTCCTTCTTCTTCCTCCTCTTCGTCGTCGTTGTCGTCGTCCTCCTCCTCCTCCTCCTCCTCCTCCTCCTCCTCCTCCTCCTCCTCCTCCTCCTCCTCCTCCTCCTCCTCCTCCTCCTCCTCCATTTCTTCCCTAACATCTTCAACTGCATCAGCCTCTTCTATTCCAATCAATCCTGGAACCTCAATGAGTACGGCTACAGCCCATTCAGCAGCCTCGTCTCCTGCTACAGCCTCTTCTATCTCTTCCTCTTCTCCTTCCTCCTCCTCTACTACCTCCGCGACCTATTCCCTCACACCCTCAGCCAGTAACCACGTTCCCCCACCACCAGCCGGAGTGCTTACTGCTACAGTCCCCGCCGCTACAACCGCTGCTGTGGAGCGGGCTCTAGCATCTGTAGCTGCGGGGCAAACCAGGCGCCCAGGTCAGGTGAACGGTCAGGTGCATGGTCAGGTGCTGGCACAGGGGCAGGGACAAACGCAGGAGCAGGGGCAGGGAGGGCACGGGCAGGGACAGGGAGCACAGGGGCAGGCGCAAGGGCAGGGAGGGGTGAATTTCGCGCAGGGAGGGGCGAATTTCGCACAGGGAGGGGCGATTTTCGCACAGGGAGGGGCGAGTTTCGCACAGGTGGGCCCTGTGATGCTGCAGCCAGGGCTGCGAGGGGCGAGTCTGGTGGCCTCCCTGCCCGCCCGCATCAGAGTGACAGGAGATGGCGTGCTGGCCGCTCCCTGGCCGCTGCTGGGAGGTGGAGTGGGGTTGGGAGGAGTGGGACTGGGAAGCGGAGTGGTACTGGGAGGTGGAGTGGGGCTGGGAGGAGTGGGACTGGTAGGGCGCGGAGGGGTTGTGAGTGGGGCTGGCGGTGGTAGTGGTGTTAGTGGTGGGAGTATCAACGGTGGGATACTGGCAGGGTCTGTTGGTGCGTTAGGGCCAGGGGCGACGCCTCTTATGGGGTCTGCTGCAAGGAGGGGAGCTGCTGGGCTGATGAGTTCTGCTGCTGGTATGGCCGGTGGTGGTTCGGTGGGTTCTGCTGCTGCTGCTGGTGTGGTTGGTGGTGGTTTGGTGCGTTCTGCTGCTGGTGTTAGCGTGGCAGGTAGCAGTAATGCCCTGGTTGCCGGTGCAGAGATAGTTGGGGTAGGCCTGGGAGCTATTGTGGCTGCTGCTGGGACTGCTGGGACTGCTGGGACTGCTGGGACGGTTGGGGCTGCCACGGCAAGCTTGTCGGGTTCAGGCACTGCTGCAGCTGCTTCTGGAGCTGTTGTGTCTGCTGCTGGGACTGCTGCAAGTGCTGCCAGTGCTGCAGCTGCTGCTGGGACTGCTGGGACGGTTGGGGCTGCTGCAATGCGTGTGCCTGGTTCAGGCTCTCCTGCAGCAGCTACTGGTGCTGTTGTGGCTGCTGCTGGGGCTTCTGAGACAGCTGGAACTGCTGCAAATGCTGCGGCTGCTGATGACACTGCTTCTTCCTCCTCTTCCTCCTCCTCCTCCTCCTCCTCCTCCTCCTCCTCCTCCTCCTCCTCCTCCTCCTCCTCCTCCTCCTCCTCCTCCTCCTCCTCCTCCTCCTCCTCCTCCTCCTCCTCCTCCTCCTCCACCTCCACCTGTCCCCCAGCTTTCATCCCACCTTCATCTATGTGTGTTGTGAACCATTCAGACGCTACTAGTACTGCGAACATCACCACCACAGCTACAAGCAGCAGCACCGCTTCCAATGACATTAATACTTGCAGCAGCAGCAGCAGCAGCAGAACCAAAGGCTGTAGTGAAGAGAGTGCTACGCTTCAAACGGGGGGCAGCACACGTGCACAGTCAGAGACACACACAGATGCAGAGCCGGAATTGCAGACCGGCACACAGCAGCAGACAGGCACATTAGATCAACCACAGGAAAACGCAGGGGCTTCACTGCATCTGCTGCAGCAGCAGCAAGCAGCGGCAGCAGCAGCGGCAGCGGCGGTGGCAGCGGCGGGGGTGGTGGCAGGGGTGGGAGTGGGGTGGACAGAAGATAAGATGAAGCGAGCGGGGGAGATTGTGGCTGCTGCCAGGCGCACTCAGAGTAGATTCTCCTCCCTCTTTGCTGCCTCGGGCTGTGCTGCTGCTGGAAATACAGGGGCGTGTGGAAATGCTGGGGTTTGCAGGGATTCTGAGGTCTGTAGGAATGCTGGTGCTGGTGCTGGTGCTGGTGGTGATTGTGGTGGTGCTAGTGCTGCTGCTGGTGAGGGGTGCAGCAGTACCAGCAAAGGCGGTGCTGGTAGTGGTGGTGATTGTGGTGGTGCTAGTGCTGCTGCTGGTGAGGGGAGCAGCAGTACCAGCAAAGGCGGTGGTGGTGGTAGCTCGGGTGACCCTGCTGCTGCGGCTGCTGTTGCTGCTTCTGTACCCTCTGGGGCTAGTGGTGGTGATACTGGTGGTGCTAGTGGTGGTGGTTCTGGTGCTGCTAGTGCTGGAAATGAGGGTGGTATATATGAACCGCATGAGAATGACCATGAGGCAGTGTGGGCATGGATAGCCGGAGATGCCCCAGTGCCCCATGCTGCTTCCTTCTCCTCTCTGCTCTCCACCCAGCCTCCCTCCTTTGCCCCCGCTTCTGCCACTGCTGCTGCCACTGCTGCTGCCACAGCTGCTGCCGCTGCTGCCACCACTGCTAATGCCTCTGCTGCAACAACTGCTGCAGCCCCTGCTGCTGTCGCTGCTTCTGCTTCTGCCCCTCCTTCTGGACTGAGCAGCCATCTTACTAAGTGGCACCACCAGCATCAGCACACACATGTTGCCCATGCCTTCTCTGCCTCTGCTCTCCCGCTCCTCTCCTCCTCTCCTTCCATCTGGAGCCCTCTTACCTCCCCTCCTCAATTTGCTGCAGCAAGTATCGAACCCGCATCTCAGAAGCTGTGGCTGGGTCCAGTAGCACGTGGAGGGGAGGTATTATTAAAGGAAGGTGGAGGGGAGGTGTTATTTGGGAGAGGTGGAGAGAAGTTGCTATCTCAGAAAGGCGGAGGGGAGGTGCTATCTGAGGAAGGTGGAGGGGAGGTGTTATTTAGAGAAGGCAGTGCAGAGGAGCATCCAGCAGCAAGTGCTAGCTCTGCTGGTAACACTGAAGCACCTGTGGCGGCGGCACTAGCAGGTGAGTCCCATCCTATGGTTGCTGCTTCGTGAAGCCCCTCCTTCCCAGTCTCTCTAAGGCGTCTCAGAGGAGAAACCACCAGCAGCAAGTGCTAGCTCTGCTGGTAACACTGAAGCACCTGTGGCGGCGGCACTAGCAGGTGAGTCTATGTTATGGTTGCTTGCTGCCAATGCAGTTTCCCCCAGTATGTCCCCCCCTCCCATCATCTCCCTCTCCTTCTCTCCTTCCCCCTCTCTCCATCTCCCTCCCACCACTCCCTGAGACGCACTCACAAGGGGATTGCATCCTCATTGTAATGCTCCTCATAGTCTGCTGCACCGAATGTGCTCTCTTCTCTGTCTGTTTGTCTCTCTCCCCACATCCTCCCCACACTGTCCCCCACTCTCTCTCTCTCTCTCTCTCCATCTCCCCCCTTTTTGAGTCGACTCAAAAGTCTCTCCATCCCCCCCCCTTTTTTGTAACCTTGATTGACATGATGATGACCAGCAGCAGTGACAGAGCCCGGTGCTCCTGACGGGCCTGAGAATAAGCTGACTAATGCTGCCTTGAATAACGCTGATAGCAAACCCAGCACGATCAGCAGCACTGCCAACAACAGCAACAGCAACAGCAGCAGCAGCAGCAGCAGCAGCAGCAGTGACACCAGGAGTGGCATTAAGAGCAACAGTTTCAACAGCAGTGCGAGCGGCAGCAGTCTAGGCAGCGGCAGGGAGAGTCATGTTTCTAAGGTGACACATAGCCTTCCCAACTCCCCTCCTCCACGATCGTCTCAGTCCCCCTCCTTTCTCCCTTCCTTCCATTCCCTTCGCCCTTCTCTTCCCACTTCCATCTCGCTCCCTGGCCGTCCCTCCTCCCACTCCTCCTCCTCCTCCTCCTCCTCCTCCTCCTCCTCCTCCTCCTCCTCCTCCTCCTCCTCCTCCTCCTCCCTCTCCATTGCCACACTCCCCTCCTCCAAATCCCACCATATCACCTCCTCCCTCTCATCCTCCTCACTCCCTCCCGGAGGCCCGTCTGCCACGTCAGCAAGCTCCACATCTGCAGCGATTCGTGCCACCACTCTCTCGGCGACAGCTGGCGAGTTCATCCCGTCACTGCCCGCCACGCCAGCATCAGCATCCCTCTCTACAGTCACGCCCGCTATAGCTTCTTATGCTACCCCGGGCGCTATTCGTCGATCGCTGTCCCCTTCTCCCCGCATTCCAATCCGCTCCTCCTCCCCTTCTCCTGCTCGCTCTTCCTCTCCCCTTCCCCCCTCCTTTCTCTTCAAATCCCCCTCCGCCTCTGCTTCTTCCTTCACCTCACCTCCCCCCTCTGCTCCTCCTGCTGATGCTGCTTCTCTCACTGCTGCAGCCTCCTGGAAGCTTCCTCAACGTGCCGCATCCCCATCTCGAACCTCTCCATCTCCAACCTACTCTCTCCGAACCTCCCTCGCTGCTTCGGCGTCCCTAGCCAGTGCAATATCAGCCCCGGAATTCAAACCCAAGCTCAATGCTCCTGACTTTAAGCCTGCTGGTGCTGCTGTAGCGGCTACAGCTGCTACTGCTGCTACAGCTGCTATATATACCAATTCCCGTGCGACAGCAAGAATGGTTTCTGCTTCCCGTGCTACAGCCTCTAGGGTTTCCTCTTTCCTTTCTACAGCTGCTAAGAATTCCGATTCCCTTGCTACACCTCCTACAATCTCCGATTCACCTGCCACATCTGCTGGAGTTTCTGCTTCCCCTGCTGCTGCCCCTGCCGCCTCCCTCTCCTCCTCTGCTGCCACTGCCTCTGCCTTCGTCCCCTCCTCATTGCCTGTGGTTGCCACAGCTGCCAGGGTTGCTGAATCCCATGCTACAGCTGCTATGTGTTCTGGCTCCCTGGCTACAGCTTTCAAGGCCCCTCCCACCGCTTCTCCTGCTGCTGCACCTGCCTCCTCCCTCTCCACCTCTGCTGCCACTGCCTCTGCCTTCGTCCCCTCCTCTATCTCTGTTGTTTCTACCAGTTCGTCTGCCTTTGCTCCCTTATCTGTCTCTGGGCAAGGTCTAGCCTCGGGGCATGACGTAGGGCATGACGTGGGGCATGAGTTGGGGCATGAGTTGGGGGATGATTTAGGGCATGATTTGGGGGATGATTTGGGGGAAGGTGTGTTTCTCCCATCGACCCTCGACTCCCCCCCACCGATTGCCATCCGCCAGGGGCCTGTAAGGCGGCTGTTTGGGGGTGGTGAGAGCACGGCAGGGGATGCAGGGGGCGTGGGAGGTATAGGGGGAATGGGAGCAGGAGGAGTGGGAGCAGGAGGAGTGGGAGCAGGAGGAGTGGGAGCAGGAGGAATGGGAGCAGGAGGAGTGGGAGCAGGGGGCATGGTTGGGCTGTTTGGGGATGGAGAGGGCATGGCAGGGGATGCAGGGGGTGTGGGTGACTCAAGAATGGTAAATGGCATGGAGATTGGTTCTAACGATGGTGTGGTGTACTATAGGAGCGAGTGGGGAGGGGAGGAGGGAGGAGATGAGGAAGGGGGGGAGGAGCAAACGGAGCAAACGCAACCGGCTGTGTATTACGAGGGGTTGACGTCTCACGTGGTCTATGGTGCTGCAGCAGCAGCTAATGCTGAGGCATTTCAAAAGCCAACTGGTGGGATGGTGCGAGCAGGTGAAAATTCTGATCTTAGCAGCACACACAGCAGCACAGCCTTTTCAAGAAACGACCCACGGGGAAGCACTGGTAGCTATAGCTACAGCAGCGGCAGGGATTTCACTAACAGTAGCATCAACATCAGCAGCAACAGCAACAGCAGCAGCAGTGCCAGAGTGATCATTGCAAGGCATAACCGTAGCCATCACGATAACATCACTGCTAGCAGCAGAAGCATCAGCAGCAGAAGCATTAGCAACAGCAGCAGCAGCAGTAGCGGCAGCAACCCAGCCTCGTTTATCCTCTCTAAGAGCTCACTCGCCAAAGCAGCTGGAGCAGTCCCGTTTCGCCCCAAGGCTGTCATACCCCCTCGCTTCATCTCCCCTACTGCTCCCACCTTTGTCCCTTCCTCTGCCTCCTCTCTGCCCTCCAACCATCCCTCACTTCCTTCGTCCCATTCCTCCCACTACTCTCTCTCCTCCTCACACTCCACTCTCTCCTCCTCACACACCACTGTGCCATCCGCTCCTCTCCGTTCCACCTCCCCTGCATTTACACCCTCCAAGCTCTCTCTCCATTCCGCTCCTTTCACTCCTTCCTCTGCCTTCATCTCTCCACCGCCTCCCCACACACGCTCATCTGCTCCGTTCCCCGCTGCTCCTTCTGCTACTGCTGTCACTTTTGCCAGTGCTGCTGCTGCTGCTGCTGCTGCTGCTGCTGCTGCTGCTGCTGCTGCTGCTGCCAATGCTTCTCCCGCAGCAAACCGTGCAGTGTTTGCTTCAAGCAGTGCTCCCAACACACCTGCTGCAAAGGCAGGAGCACCGGCAGCACCAGCACCAGCAGCTGCAGCAACAGCAGCAGCGGCAACAGCAGCAGTCGCACCGGCACTTGCAGCACCAGCAGGAGCAGCAATGGTCTCCGCCATCTCCAAGCAGGACGGGACGAGTCCAGCTGGCACATCGTTGAGAGCAGGGGCAGAGGAATGGCAGGGACCACAGAGTGCAGCAGCAGAGGTTTCTGGTGGGATGGAGGAGTGGGTGGGGCAGCAGAGTGCAGGGCTGAGAGTATCAGGTGTGGCAGCAGGAGCAGGAATGAGCAGCAGCAGTGGGTACGGACGTGGGGGGTATGAAAGCGGAATGGACATTATGCCAGCGGGCATGGCAGCAGGTACGGCGGCAGGCCCGGCAGCAGGCATGGCAGCAGGTACGGCAGCAGGTATGGTGGCTGGCATCGCAGCATACGAGCCTAACGGGACAACAGGCTCGGAAGTAGCCATGGCAGGTGGCAGCGGGATGCAAGGCATGGGTGGTCATGCAGGTGGCATGGCTTGGTCTCATGACGCATGGCATGGCATGGTGACCTCTCCTCCTCCTGCTGTATGGCATGGCATGGTTGGGTCCCCTCCTGCCCCACACTCAGCACACTCAGTGCAGTCAGGGCTGTCAGTTGCTCTTCCACCTTGGCAGATGGGAGTAACACCTGTCACTGCTACAGCTGCCGCTGCTGTTCCTTCTGTTGCCGCTGCTGCTGCGCCTGCCCCCTCTGCTGCTGCAGCTGCTTCTGTCCATTACACCGGGGCTACTTTTGGAGCCCATGCCGTGCCTGAGATGTGGTCCAGTGTTCCTTCCCATCCTGGAGGCTCGGCTGGTCCGGAAGCCTGGCCCGGGGCTGTCGTGCTTGGTCCGGAAGCTGCCGCTTCAGCTGGCTGGAGTTCCCCGGACGGGTATGCAGGTTCGGCAGCCCCTTGGGCAGGTATGGGAGGGCATGCTGGTTCAGGTATGTGGTCCGGTGTGAGTGATGGTATGGTAGGTGGTACTGCAGTTGTAGCGGGGGTAGCGGGAGGGGTGTGGGCAGGTATGGGGGAAACGGGTGTGCATGGTGTGACTGTTGGGATGGCGCCAGGTGGGATGATGATGGGTGGATATGGTATGCATGTGCATGGTGTTGGGGAGGAGGATGGAGGTTTTGATGGGAGTGGTGGTGGGGGGGTTGGAGTTGCTCCTTTGCATTGTCCTGTATGTCATGGTTATCTTGCCACGTCTGCTGCTGACTTGGCTGCTCACTTGGATCACTGTGCTCGTTACAATCATTAGTTACGTCACTTTGTGGTGCTTGACGGGAGGCACTTACAGTACCTGTGCAATATACTTTCTTTTGTCTTTATTTTTTCAAGTCTCCCGATGCTGTTTTATAACAACCATATGATTTTGTATATCAACTACTTACGGTGCCACCAACAAAATCAGGATCAGGAATAATCGTACAGCCTTATCGCAACGCACACCCGCTGACTGCAGTTCTAGTACAAACCTTGGTTGGTCTGGTTCTCGTTGACCCACCTTATCGCAACGTCGCAGAATTTCAACGCCTTGTCGGTATGTCTTTCCATACCAGACCTAACCAGCTAGAAATCCGGTTCGTCACATAACCGAGCGGCAAAGTTCTGACTACCAAGCCCAAACCAAACCAGACACGCCACCCCAAACCACGAAAATGCAAAGACGTCATCACGACACGAACCTCAAAACATTTCCCTTTGCAGTCCTTGTTGACCAGTCACCTCGCGTCTCGGGAATCTTTCTCTCGCCAGTCAACCCCCTCCCCGACTCGAGGAATGTGAGATGCACATAAATTGCTCCCAATGTTCAATCTCTTCCCAACTCAAACTTTCCTCTGCCTTCCCCCTTGCATCCAACCTAGTTCATTCTCGTCTCTTCAGAAACCAAATTACTTCCCGATTCTGAAAACCATGGCAGTCAGGAGTCTTTTTATCGTCTGCATTGCGCTCCTCATTGCGAACTCCGTGGATGCGCAGCGTGGTCTGCCTGGCGGAGGCCCTCCCGGAGGCCAGCAGCCAGGGGGGGGGCGCGGAGGACCTGGCGGGTCTGGCGGGCCCAGCGGGCCTGGCGGGCCTGGCGGACAGGCTGGTCCGCACGGTCCTCCGTTCAATCTGACGGTAGTCGGAAATTTGACGGCGGACGTTAACGCGCGATTGGCTAACTGCTCCGCGGACCCAACGTTTCTCGACGGCCGCTTTCACCTCGCCATCTTCAAGTGAGCTTCGGGGCTTTGCCAACGAAACCCTTATATTCGTGGGGCTATAATTGTCGCCGCGCGTTCTCACTGTCAATTTACCTTCGGCGTCGCAGATGTTGCGCCGCATTCATTTCTTTCACTTCAGCCAGGGACGCGTTACCATCGTTCCTCCTTTCACTCACATCCCTCCCCCCACTTTTCACCCTTCCACCACGCTTTCCCCCCGCTTCCCCACTTCCCCCTCCGCCAGGAACGCGAGCGGCAATTACAACCTGGCGGTAGACGCGCTCCTGGTGGGAGCCACGGGCGGGCCGCCCGACTCCCTTGCGATCGTGAAGGGCGCCGTCTGCGACTCCTCCGCCTCCGCCGCCGCGATCCTCGCGCTTCCGCTGGCGGCGTCCGACTGGCAGCAGCGCGACGGCTGGTGGCTGCTGCACGCGGAGGCGCGGCTCGACGCGTTCCTCGAGAACGCGGACGCCGCCACCGTCGACGCGCTCCTCGCGCTCCTCCCCAACGCGACGCTGCCAGCGACGCGAGGCGGCGGCCGCGGCAAAGGCAGCGGAGGCGGAAGCGGCGCGGGGGGAGCGCGCAGCGGACAGGGCAGCAGGCGCATGGGGAGGGAGCTGCTGATGCGCGCAGCGGGCCGCGTCACTGGTGCGAAGCAGGGGGCGCCGCAGCCGCCTGCAGCTAGTCCCTCAGGCGCTGGGGGTGCGGGGGGGATGATGGGGGGTGGCGGGATGAACGCTACTGTGAGTGGGTATGCCGTGCTGGCCACTGCCACTGCGGGGGGTGTGGCGTGGGGCGGCCAGCTCATGGGCGTCAAACTGCCCTCCGCCGCTGCCTGATGTGATGGCGGTGCTGCTGGCGGCTTTGCGCTGCTATTCTGATTCTTGCTTGGTACAGAGTAGCTGGGGAAGAGTTCTGTTGGCTGGCAACTTCTGGTGTTTGGGGATTTTTTAGGTAGAAGTTCTAGAGTATCTTAGTTTGGAGTAAGCATCTGGGCAGGAATGTTGGCAAATCACCATGCTTCTCTTCACGAGCAGACTTGCCAATCTTCCTGCCCTTTGCTTGTAATTTTGTAGTTCTTTGTCTTTTATGTTGAGGAGTTATAGGGTATGAAGCTATGTGTTTTTGAAGTGTACTTCAATTCTACTCTTGACAGTGTTATGATACGGAAACACGAGGCTGGAGTTGCGAAACGAAATCCTTCGCCTCCTCTTCGGTTCATGGGGGCGACTGTACGCGAAATGCTAGGTTACCTGCGTCGTCACATATCGTTTTTCTTCCAATGATTGTGAGGTTTGGTAATTTCGGTTCTTCTTTCGCTTATCGTTCCCGCACCGCACATTTGCCTTGCTTCAGACTTGTCGCGATGCCTCTTTCCCACCTGAACTTAGGGTTACCACCTGAACCACAGTCCCAAAATATCGGGCCTCTACGTGTTTTGCGAGGTAAAATTGGGGTAACGTACTCGCGGTCAAGAGAATGTGTGGCTCGTTGTGGGCCCGTGAATTGTGGGCCGTTCCGTTGCCCGTGACCGTGGAATGGACCGCTGATTCTTATCAATTGCTTCTGGCTGAGCTGGGCCTAATGGGCGGTCGATTGTGCATCAAGATCTTTTGCCTCCCCTCGGTCACATGCCTGCAGAACAGCGCCCTTGATTGCGAGTCATAGCACAATTTATTGACAGAACATAATTTGTGTTGTAGAGGCGTCTCCTCTACTTTGCAGGAACTCTAAGTTGCACTAAACGATAGAGCACAGTCTTGGCTTTCCAACAAGCCGTCAAACACGTTAATCGCCCAAGTATACGCCGAGATATTGGCGTTCACGTGATTGCTAGTGCTCTTAGAAGCAAGGATAGACCTCTCTGGAATTTTGGTTCGAATGGACCATGTACAAGAAGATTCAGGATTTCAGTATAAAGCATGCATACAAGGCAGGTCGATTTATAGCAAATGCATTACATCGAACCGCACATGTAACATCACATCGCTACACTCGCGTCGCGAATGCGCCGCGTGTAACATTTCGGTTGGGGTGAAATTCGACCACCGAATTTCACACCGAACACACCGAATTCGCCTTGCACTTGAAGGTTGGAATGTGGTGCCGCCACGTGGCACCGAAGGGTGAGTCTCCCGAAGTCAATCGGTGCCACCCCACCGATCCCTAGTCAAAGGGATCGAAGGCACCGAAGTGCCCTCGGTGGGTTGGGGGCATACCACCGCCCCACCACCGTTTCCTTCCAACACTCCCCCTTGCACCCAAGCCACTAGGTGTTCATACCAACACGCTCACGGCATGCACGGAATGAATCCTTAGGGAGTGGTTTAGTGAGGAAATCCGCGGGTTGCGCCTTGGTGCTTATGTATGTGACCTTGACCTCACCTCTCTCGACCACCTCACGAATGAAGTGATGCTTCACCTCAATGTGCTTGGTACGCCCGTGAAGGACGGCATTGTGAGTGGGGTTTATGGCCGCTTGGTTGTCACAAAAGAGAGGAGTTGGGTCAGCTTGAGGATGCCCAAGCTCCGCTAGAAGGCGCCGTAGCCATATTGCCTCCATGGCTCCTTGAGTGAGTGCCATATACTCCGCTTCCGTTGTGCTTAGAGCCACGGTTGGTTGCAACTTGCTTTGCCAACTCACGGCTCCCCCAAGCAAGGTGAAGACGTACCCGCCGGTACTCTTGCGCTTGCTTTGATCACCGGCATAATCCGAGTCGGTGTAGCCCTTAAGCACGATTGGACCGGCTTCATATACGATTCCCAAGTTGGGTGTGCCTTGGAGGTAGCGTAGAACACGTCCTCCCGCACGCACATGCTCGGTATGAGGGTTGCTTACGGCTCGTCCAAGTACCCCGGCGGCGTATGAGAGGTCGGGACGGGTGGAAACGGCGGCATACATGAGTGAGCCGACTAGCGAATGAAACCGCTTCCCTTCGGCTTCGTCGAGGGCGGATTCTTCCTCTCCCGGGAGGCAAGAAAATCCCGTGTCTAGTGGCGTCCCCACCGGGTTGCTATTACCCATGCCGAAGCGCTCCACAACCCCTTTCACATATTTTTCTTGGTGGAGGTGAATGGTCCCGTTCGCGCGGTCGCGGTCGACGTGCATCCCGAGGTAGTACGTCACCGGTCCCAAGTCCCTCATGGCAAACTCCGCCCCTAGCCGTTGCTTGACCTCTCGAATGAGGTCTTTGGAGTCGGAGAAAAGAAGGAGGTCATCGACGTAGAGCAAAAGCACCAATTGCTTCTCCCCCTCCTTCAACACGTACAAAGCGCTATCACACACGCTACGCGCGAAGCCGTGTTGAAGAAGAAAGTCGTCGATGCGCTTGTACCATCCGCGTGGGCTTTGCTTCAAGCCATAGAGGGTACGCTTGAGCTTCCACACCCGACCGCTACCGTCATCGTACCCCGGGGGTTGCCGCATGTAGACTTCTTCCATGAGAAGCCCGTAGAGGAAGGCGGTGCAAACGTCCAATTGTTCCACCTCGAGGTTGAGAGATGCCGCTAGCGCGAGCAACACCCGAAGAGTGGAGGCCTTCGAAACGGGAGCGAAGGTCTCACTATAGTGCTCCCCCTCCCGTTGAGTGTACCCTTGCGCCACAAGCCGCGCCTTGTAGCGTTCGACACCTCCATCGGCTCCCAATTTCTTCCTAAGCACCCACTTGCATCCCACCAAGTAGGCACCCTTCGGCGGGTCGACGAGCTCGAAAACATCGTTCTCCTTGATCGATGCTAACTCCCTCTCCATCGCTTGCTTCCATAGCGGTGCATCCGGGGAAGCCAAAGCCTCCTTGTGAGTGCGTGGGTTATCGTCGCCGATGGTCGCTAGGCAAATCGCCGCACTCTCCTCATCCGACTCCCCAACGGCGACCGTAGCATAGTCGGTTAACCTCGTGTTGGGACGAGGTGTACGACGCCCGCGAGTCAACGCCAATGGTAGGGAAGAAGGTGCGGAGGAAGTGGCCTCCTCGGTTGGTGGCACCTCCTCGACATCATCATCGCACTCCTCGTTCTCTCCCCCTCCACTTTCGGCTCCCTTCTTCACGTGCGGTGAAACCTCCACCGCTCCATCCTCCTCTCGTGCGGGAAGGACGACGGTGAGTTGCGGCGTTTGTTTCTCCTTTGTCGGGAACTTGTCTTCGTCGAAGATCACATCCCGAGACGTGACGACGCGTTTTTCATCCAAATCCCACACTCGCCATGCACGCTCGTTCGCCGCAATCCCCAAGTAGATCGCCGCACGAGCTTTCGGTTGCAACTTGTGGCGAAGTGGATCCGGTACATGGTAGTAGCAAAGGCACCCAAAGGTGCGTAGGCGGTATAGGTTCGGCTTCGTTCCGGTCCATGCTTCGAACGGAGTCGTTCCCGGTAGCACCTTTGTTGGCACACGATTACGAATCCATGCCGCTAGCGCACTCGCCTCTCCCCACCACTCGTTCCCAAGCTTGGAGTGTTGAAGAAGTGAACGAACGGCCTCCATCAATGTGCGATTGAGCCGCTCTACCGCTCCATTTTGTTGGGGTGTGTAGGGTGTCGTGACGTCGTGCTTAATGCCCTTGCTTTTCATCCATTTTTCAAGCTCGTTGCTCACGAATTCGCCGCCACCGTCGGTGCGAATGCACTTGATCCGCTTCTTGCCGTCGTCGCAAACGTCGAGCGCCCACTCTTGAATCGCCTTGGCCGCATCTCCCTTAGCCTTCAAGAGTCGGGTCCAACTCATCCGCGTCGCGTCGTCGAGCATCACTAAGAGGAACCGCGCTCCTCCCTTTGATGCATGCCGCATCGGTCCACACACGTCCATGTGAACAAGCGCAAGCGGGTCCTTTGCGAGGGGTGAGGTACGGCTACCAAATGGCTTGCGAGCCATTTTTCCTTCGACACACGCCGCGCACACGCCCTTCTCGTCGTTGCCGGCGATCACGTCAAATCCCTTCGCAAGTCCCTTGTTGGCCAACTCTTTGACCGATTCGTAGTTGGCGTGCGCAAGCCGATTATGCCACATTTTGAGAGTCGCCTTGGAGCCTTGCGCCACGTTGGATGAGGCCGTTGTCGGATGCGTCTTGAGTTGGTAGAGTTGTCCGTTGAGAACGCCTTGCGCGAATTGCTTCCCCTTCCAAAAGAGGTTCATCTTCGCGCCATCGATGGTGACCTTCACGTCTTTCTTTGCGAGTTGAGTGACGGAGAGTAGATTCACCTTCAATCCCGGGACATGAAGCACGTTCGTGATGTCCACCGGCCCGCCATCGACGATGAGACGCGTACTCCCAACTCCAACCACCGGTAGCGATTTATCGTTCCCGAAGACGACGCGCTTGACGTCTCCCGGAGCACCGACGGTGTTGAGGAGCGACGCCGAGTGCGTCATGTGTTGTGTTGCACCGGTGTCGAGGAACCACGCGTCGTTTGAAGTGTTGATCCCGTCACCGGCCAACAAAACGAGCGACTCCGTTGAATCATCCGCCTCGCCGGATGCCGTGTGCGCGTTGCCCTCTTGGTTCCGCGCCTTCGATGGAATCCAATCGCTCGGCCGCTTCCGACATTCACGCCAAAAGTGCCCCGCTTTGCGACAATAATGACACTTGCTCGAACCGTTTGATGCGTTGCCCTTGCCGCGACCGTTTCCACCGGACGACTTCTTTGCCTCACCGTTGCTCCACTTGGACTTCTTTCCGGAGCTCCCTCCGGAGAACATGGCGGTCTCCACGCTCTCGTTAGCGAATTGTCGGCGTCGCGATTCTTCATGGAGAAGCCGACCGACCACCATTTCCTTCGTCCAAGTGTTTTGCACGCTATTGAGTGTCGTAATCACCGTCGACCACTCTTCCGGAAGGCCGCA